GTGCGAGTTGACGGATTACACATGTCTATTAGTAGGGGAGCCCAAGAGGGGATTTTCTGTAGTTACTCGAGCGCGGCAGATTAACATAAAAGAGGTTACCTTGCATTCTATTGAGTACTTTCACCACAATATAAGTCTTCTATATAAAGGGGCGCGTCTAGGGAAGCCGATTAAAATATTTAAAAAATGTTTTGATAAGGTAGAAATACTTGAAACCGTCAGATTAAGGTGTGGTAGGCTAGTCACATCCTGAAAATAAAAATATTTTAATCGGCTTCCCTAGACGCGCCCCTTTATATAGAAGACTTATATTATGGTGAAAATACTCAATAGAGTGCAAGGTAACCTCTTTTATGTTAATCTGCCGCGCTTGAGTAACTACAAAAATCCCCTCTTGGGCTCCCCTACTATATCGAAATCTCTCTACTTTCTCTCAGATATGTAGATTTCCCCATGATATTTTCTTTCATCTAAAGCAATCATGTTGAAAATGGTTCGCACATGAGAGGACTAGAGGTGCGCTACAATTGTTTGCCCAAGCGGACGTGCTTTTTTCCACTAGGTTACCATTGCATCAACGTACATTTATGAAAATTGGCGAAATGTATATTTTATTCAGACTTCTTCTTTAGTTCCCTTTTCTGTTGTTCACTATCGCTGCATCTTCCGATGGATCTGTTTGGTTCACGCATAAATAGAATCTCGACATTTCGGCCAGTATAGAGAAGAAGGTTGAGACTTCACTTAGACCGATTTCGTAAGATATTAGTAATTTTGGCTGAGTAATCTAGAGCGCAACAGATAATAAGATAATTTTGCATCTGTCTCAGACGCAATGATGCGGATGATCCAAAACTACGCTTGTTTCTATAGATTTTTTGGATCAGTAGTGTTTTTTCTGTTTATAGAAATAAATTAAATAATATTATAATTTACTTAAAAATAATTATGAATTTAATTCATGCTAAATAACGTAGTGACGAAGTTTAATAGATAAGGCGTATCTTATTAAATATAATTGTTACAAATCCTGTGGTTTTCCTATTATATAAATATCTATAATACCGTCTATTCTGAATGTCATCATATAATATGTATATGATAAAGATTATTACAAGTGGTCTTACACTTTTGGTCAGTAATCTATACATATAATAAAAGTGTAACTGATCGTTGTCTGTACATGGACGATATTTGAGAAAAACTATTATTGGGGGTCTTTATTAACGCAATAGAACCCAAAACAATGATTCTTAGAATTTTTGTCTGTCTATCAGTCTGGCGTTTGTGGGCGCTAAACTCAGAAACGGCTTAACCGATTTGAGTGCGATTTTCACTAATGTATTGTGGTAAGCTTCACTTAATAATTAATATTTAGTATTTGTTTTATTTCATTCGGTTCAAAAATAAAAAACAAGTTATGTCAATTTAAAGAATTATCCAGGGACGAACCCGCGCTAAGCGAGGGTAAGTCGTTAGTGTATATATGTATGTATATGGGTAAGGTATTTTTTTTTAAATATTTCTAAACATTTTAGTACGTCGGCACATATATGTATAAATAGTATTCAGTTCAAAAGATTTAGATAGAAGAATTTTGTCTTAAAGAATTTTGAATGAGTCTACCTCAATATATGCAATAATAATATTTTAAATGGAGTAGATATCGATTATATAATAGAAGTTGAAACTTGAATAAAACCTTGAACGTCTACCTTGTCGTATACGTGGTCGTTTTCTAACAATTATAATTAGAAACGCCACGTCTTTATGGTTTGGTTGAAAAGCGTAAATTTCATGAATTCCAAATGAATGTTCACATAAGAAACTATAATAGTACTAAAAAATTATTATTTAGTAGTTAAAACGTTTTGTTTAACTAGCCTTTCCACCCGACTTTGACTGTGTATTCTAAACTCAATTAGGTACTTTCATCGTTTAAGAGGATTGTGAAGCTGTAAATTTTCATACAAAAAGCGACAACGTTTTTTCGTAAATGTAGATATAACGAAAAACTAGGTCCGTACGATTTTATTTTAAAGAAATATTGCGTATGCGGTATGATAGAAGTTATTAGCATCTAAATATTTCTATTTTTTACATAAAAACTTCCTCGAGAGTTTTAATTTTTTTGAATATAATGAGACCAAAATTGTCTCATTTCGTAAAAGCTTAGGGGGGTGAAAACTTAATCGCCCGAAACAATATTTCAAACAGAAAATGTATGTAATTGCCCCTAAGATTTGCAACTCTCTCTATCGCACCATACGCGTTGGCAAAGCGAGCGGTATGAAACATAATATAGCATTTTTTTTAAAACCTACTCGCGCCGCGTATCGACACTTCACAATCCTCATAACTGATTGGTAAAATGATAAAGATCAAATGAGGATTTATAAAGAAATGAATATAAATAAATAAATAAATATGTTGGGACATTAACACAGCGCCATCTAGTTCCATGGAAAGCTACGAGGCTTGTGTTATGGATACCAGATAGTTGATACATTAAACATACATAGCTTTTAAATACAAAAATATTATAAATATAAACATGAAACATCCACGACTGGAGTACAAACATTCGTGCTCATCACACAAATAAATGCCACCAGCGGGACTTAACTTTTGTTTTTTGCAACGTTGGTAAAATTAAATTTTGCCAACTTTTCTGGGTAATAATTTTTTGCTATTTGTATCCATCTTTGTATGCCGTATGCTATCTTTCATACTTTATACTAGAGAAATAGGAATACAAAAATATTTCGTTGTAAGATCCGAATGTTGAACGAAGCTTGTATAGACCAGGGTCGATAATTTTTAAAACCAAAAAAAATAATAGTAGGATGCAACCCATTAGAAAAGGAGGGGGATATTATAAAAATGAAAGGAAAAATAATTTACGGGCGATCTGAGGTCGGGAAGGGGATGGGGGTGAGGTTTTAAGGGTAAAAAACGGGTTTTCACGATTTCCGGCAAAACTGAAAGTCCTATCGAAAAAAGTCAAATGGCAAAGTTGTAGGTAATAAAAAGATCTAAAACTTTTGTATTTACACTTTTTTCACATAACCTCAAAATTTATGTGAAAAATTCAAAAAACCAAGTTTTTGGTTTTTTATTTTTATCTTTTACAAAAATGGTTTTGTTTTAACGAAATTTGGTGAAAACTTACCTTTTTATGTCCTAAATACGCTGTAATTTATTTGATTAAAAATATTTATTTTTTCACATTATTTTGAATTAATATCGAAAAAGCACCCTAATTTTCAATCGAAAATTCACCCATCAAAATATCAGCTTTTTTCAAAAAGTTGGTATGTTTTCTGTTCGTTGAAATCTCTACTTTCCGATGGTGAAAAAAATATATGTTACTATAGTAAATCTTCTGAGAAAATGCAAAAAACAAAAAACCTTTTTTATTTCATACACTTGCTTATCATCTGCCTTATTGCAGATGATACAAATTGATTCATCCATACTGATAATCTGAAAAGACAAAATCGAATTAATAATGCCTTTACTATTTTATTGTGAGTATACCCCCATGAAAAAAATATTAAAGAAATAAATGTTAAAATGTATAAAAAATATATTATAAATATATTAAAAATCTATACTATACATATTTTTTATGTATAAATATATAAAAAATATGTATAGTAAATATATTTTTAATAACTAACTTCTGGCCGATTTTCATGTATATTTCATATATTTTATTATAGATTTTTAATATATTTATAATATATTTTTTATACATTTTGACATTTATTTCTTTAATATTTTTTTCATGGGGGTATACTCACAATAAAATAGTAAAGGCATTATTAATTCGATTTTGTCTTTTCAGATTATCAGTATGGATGAATCAATTTGTATCATCTGCAATAAGGCAGATGATAAGCAAGTGTATGAAATAAAAAAGGTTTTTTGTTTTTTGCATTTTCTCAGAAGATTTACTATAGTAACATATATTTTTTTCACCATCGGAAAGTAGAGATTTCAACGAACAGAAAACATACCAACTTTTTGAAAAAAGCTGATATTTTGATGGGTGAATTTTCGATTGAAAATTAGGGTGCTTTTTCGATATTAATTCAAAATAATGTGAAAAAATAAATATTTTTAATCAAATAAATTACAGCGTATTTAGGACATAAAAAGGTAAGTTTTCACCAAATTTCGTTAAAACAAAACCATTTTTGTAAAAGATAAAAATAAAAAACCAAAAACTTGGTTTTTTGAATTTTTCACATAAATTTTGAGGTTATGTGAAAAAAGTGTAAATACAAAAGTTTTAGATCTTTTTACTACCTACAACTTTGCCATTTGACTTTTTTCGATAGGACTTTCAGTTTTGCCGGAAATCGAGAAAAACCGTTTTTTACCCTTAAAACCTCACCCCCATCCCCTTCCCGACCTCAGATCGCCCGTAAATTATTTTTCCTTTCATTTTTTTAATATTCTCCTCCTTTTCTAATAGGTTGCATCCTACTATTATTTTTTTTCACTTTTTATTATTTTTAAAGGCTTCTAACCTGGTCTAGTAATCAACTCGATGAATATGAATTGACAGTATAGCAATTAATTAAAGCTTTTCGTTAATTGAAGATGTTATCGACGACGTTTACAATTTTGCCATAAAAATTGCAGCATTGCTCTTTTACCATATAAAATATATTTTTTTTAATAATCAAATATTTATTATTACTATAAATACTTCGTTAGCAAAAGTATTTTTTCTATAAAATACTTAGTATCCGAAGTGTAAACTTTCGGATTTATAAAATGTTAGCGGATCCGTTTCGGGACAGACGTTCTTTCACAGACCTCATTAATTGGTCGGAAAAAAAAACCTATAGCTAAGAACAAACCAGATGAGGCTACTATAAATATATAAAAAAGAAACATCAAAATCAGTTCAACCAGAGAATTAAATAAAATATTTAAATTATGGAAGAACATTAAAAGACAATCGAAACATATTTAAAAAATTACAGGAAGCGGTAGCGTACGGTTGGGAAGTGCCTTCAGTAGAACAAATCAAAATCAACTGGGACGCGTTAACGCTAGCGGTTCAAAACCACATAAAATCAGTTAATTGGGTCACAAGGGTGGACTTGAGAGAGAAACAAATCGAGTACATCAATGGCCTTGGTGAATTCAAAGATCCTCACACAATTGTTGCGACAATGAAGAATGGGAGCAAGAAGGAGCTGACGGCAAGGAATGTGGTGATTGCTGTTGGAGGAAGACCCCACTATCCTGATATCCCAGGAGCCAAGGAATACTGTATCAGCAGTGACGATATCTTCAGTTTAAGCCATCCCCCAGGAAAGACCCTCGTAGTTGGTGCTGGATGTAAGTATTCCAAATTTAAAAGCCATTAAACTGCTTGATAATCGGATCAAAACTTCATTTGTTAGTATTATTTTTTTTCTGCCCAATGACTTTTCATTTCGCAATTCTAACAACAATAGACTTTGTGTGATTCATTATTTTAACTTTCAATGTCAATGGAAAGTCGTAAATGATCGATTTTATGCCGTCTGTTTAATTATGTAAAAGTAAGCTGCCATTTTCATTTTTATGATTGACACGATTTTTGTGTTTATATTTTATAGATTTAAATGTTTTTGTCCAGAAAACTTAACCTTTTTGTTTTTAAACTAATATTTAAAATATTTCCCCATAGATATCGGTCTGGAATGCGCCGGTTTCCTCAACTCGCTAGGTTTTTCGGCAACAGTACTCGTCAGGTCGGTTCCTCTCCGAGGTTTCGACCAGCAGATGGCCAACATGGTGGTCTCCGAGATGGAGGACAAGGGTGTGAATTTCCAACATAAATGTATCCCATTGTCTATTGAAAAATTGGAATCTGGACAGTTGAAAGCAAGATGGCTGAACACGGAGACCAAGGAAAAGTGAGTATTAAGTTTTTTTTATAGTAAAGATTACACAGCGCAACATAATCTTGTTTTTTTTTTGCATAAAATGTTTTAATGTATTCAGCCCTTTTTAACGTCTCACTGCTGGGCACGGGCCTCCCTTCAATGCTAGGAGAATCAGGCCATAGTCCAGCACACTGGTCAAGTACGTGTTGGCGGACTTCACAATATTTTTCGAAAACTGCCTAGTTTCTCTCAGACATGCAGCTTTGTTTCCGTACGACGATTTTCTTCACCGTAAGACGTAGTCATGATGTTCGAAATGATTCGCACATGAAAATGTCAGGAGTGTGAGGCCCGGGATTTGAACCCGGATTCCCAAGCCGGGCAAGCTGGCCACCACTGAGCCACCACTGCATTAATTTCGAATCTATCGTCACATTTATTGTATCAGCTCGGGTTTTTTAGATACAATTACTTCCTTTTTTCTAATCTTAAAGTAAACAAACTCGATATAGAGGTTTATATCGAGTTTGTTTACTTTAAAATTTGATTTGAGTGTGTCAGACTTTGTGAAAATAGTCTATTTGGAATGTTTTGGTTATCCATTGAAAACAAGTTGGGTGCCAAGTATTGTTGTGCGACGTATTCACACAATTTTCCTATCTCATAAATATTATAAATGTGAAAGTTTAGATGTTTGGATTTTTGTTACTCAATCACGCCAGAACAGAACTGAACGAATCTGGATGAAATTTGTCACAGAAATGGATTATAGACTGGAATAGAACAAAAGCTACTTTTTATTCCGAAAAAATGTACGGATCTCGGAAGATAGATTTGTTTTTGTTTTTCTTGCGGCGCTAATTTTTAATATATGGTTTTTATTTTTTGTTTAGTAGACAATGAGTGCGCTGAAGTCAAGTGACACTTTCATTGAATGCTTTATACAGACTGACAATTTTTCCTTTTTATTTTATAAAAAAGTTAATATTTAATTAAAAAAATATTAATTATTTGTCCTAGGAGTGAAGATGTTTTCGACACAGTACTTTTGGCGACAGGACGGTACGCGCTCACCGAACAACTCAATCTTAAAGCTGCTGGTGTTAATGTATGTATTTCAACATAATATATGTTATTATACACATATCATCAATAATAATAATTAGAAATTACTTAAAATAGTTCCTAAAATATATTTTTTATTACAAATCGCATTACTATTGTAAATACAATTAGTAATCAAATAAAAAGCTGGCAATATTATAGTGCCGATATAGTATTCAGTATCGTTCGAGTATGATACACAACCGAAGTTTACGAAATATGTATATTGTATTTAGAGGTTTTGCTTTTTAAGTTTTCTGAAAAAACAAACACAATTTGTATATCTTTCGCCAAAACCATTGACCGAAGCTCGGTCGCCCAGGTACTTATTGATTTAATCTACAATGTTTGAAATATAAATATAATAGTATAACTACATTTTGAATACACTAATATCCCACGTAAAACACATAATGTACCGAAAAAACTATCCCTAAGAAAATAATTAAGCAGTTCTCCAGCTTCATTGCTCTGCGATCTGAACAAACAAACAAACAAACAAACACAACAAAACACAGTTGCATTTATAATATTATTAGATTATTATTATTTCTTCACTATTTATAAAACAAGTCTTATATTAAATTCCAGACACTATCAGAGCATGGCAAGGTCATAGCTCAAGCGGAGCAGACCAACGTCCCCCACATCTATGCAGTGGGGGATGTGTTGGAAGGCAAGCCGGAGCTGACCCCGGTAGCCATCCACGCAGGCAAGCTCCTCGCCAGGAGGCTGTTCGCAGGAGGCTCCCAACAGATGGACTATGAGAATGTGGCTACCACCATCTTCACACCTTTGGAATATGGCTGTGTGGGTCTCAGCGAAGAAGTTGCTACTGAGAGGTTAGTTTTGAAAAATTAAAAATCTTTTTGGATTTTTATAAAGATTGCAATAATTATAATCGCAGCAATTAAAATTAAAATAAATAATATTAAATATTCAACTATAAAACTTATTAAAATTATAAATATTGTTTAAATTTAAATTAACAAATATTATAAAGTATTTTGATGGTATTTTGTATTTTTGAAAATGATTGTATAATTTTGTGAGTAGGTGCTGTCTGTAACAACTATATAGTGACCTTTGAGACATCTAAAACCTTAGACTCTCCCATGACCACGATTGCTGTAAAGCATTCGAAACGTCGGGAACCAAAAATCAAAATAAATCCGCGAAAAAATCCGCAAATGCTGGCTGGCTTGCGAAATGTTGCCAGATATGTTAATAGTTTAAAAAAAAACGTGTTTACTTATGTACGCACGTAAGACGTTATACTTCTTTGGCGTAACAGAACAAAAAGAGCAGCTAAAGATGTCATCTCATATGTCACAACTCTCTGTTTGTAAAAGGAATGCAGCTAACTTTATCATGTCGCTATTTGGCTATCGGTGTGCGCGCGTATCCTAAAAATTTTACTTTCACATTTTTCCCAAACGTGCCAAAAGAAGGTTAACTTTAAAAAGAATGTATATGACAGGGGAAGGGTATGAATTATATTCAGCTCTTTTTAACGTCTGTACATTTTGTATATTTACCACGTTAAATCGTTAAATAATTTAGTAACAAAACACATTTTTTTATACATTTTAGATTCGGCGCCGACAACTTGGAAGTGTACCACGCGTTCTACAAACCAACAGAGTTCTTCATACCCCAAAGGAGCATCCGCCACTGCTATTTGAAGGCCGTGGCCCTCAGGGAGGCCCCACAACGTATTCTAGGGCTCCATTTCGTCGGTCCCGTGGCTGGAGAGGTTATTCAGGGCTTCGCCGCTGCTATTAAGTAAGTATTTTTTTAATTGACAGATTCTCTAAATATTATTATGATAGAGTTAGTCATTTGCTTCGTCTTAATCGACGAGATTTCTGATGAAATTAGTGCATTGCAATGTGGTCTCACTTTGATGATAATTATGTATAACTTATTCAGTAAAACCACGTTATATGAATGTATGTGGGATTTACGAGATGATTATGCGTTAAATGATATTTTAAGAGTGTAAAGAGACGTATGATATGATTTTAAGAATGGAATGAAGAGATGAGTAAAAGAAAAAAAGGAGGTTTTTATGATAATGACTACACGAGACGCGTGAACATTGTGTTTTCTGATTTAAAAAGAATAAATAGTAAGTGTACTATAAACGCTTCTATATATATCCCATGCTCCTGCATGTATCTCATCACATACACATAAAATAAAAAATTGCACTCGAATTAAATATCCTCTCTGTTTTGAAGTTAATCAAAAGGATTTATTGTCTTACCATCCATACTAATATTATAAAATGTGTGAAAGTGTGTTTGTTTGTTTGTCTGTCTGCCCTTCTTTCACGACGAAATGGCTTGGCGGATTGGCGTGATTTTTTGTGTGGAGATAGTTGGAGGGCTAGAGAGTGACACAGGTTACTTTTTACAGCGGGAGATTATCTCATTCCCACGGGAAAACACGTTATAATACAATCCAAAAAAATATTTATAATTACTTGAAACTTGGTAATAATACTCTTCAATACAATTAATTAAATACGTGTTTTAGCATTTTTCAAAACTCGTCTCTCAAGGGGGTAAAATAGCGGATGAAAGTTTGTATGAAACCTACATTTTTAGATATTTTTTATAGTTTTAGCTCGAGCGAACCCGTGGGTTCTGCTAGTAAATAATATATATAAATAATATATGTAATCTTTTTTTTAATATAAATAACAAAAATATCTTTTTTTCCCAGATGCGGTATAACAATGGAGCAGTTAATGAACACAGTGGGAATCCACCCGACGGTTGCGGAGGAGTTCACTCGCCTCAACATCACCAAGCGCTCTGGGAAGGACCCCAACCCCGCCTCGTGCTGCAGCTAAACACCGTCCATTACTACTGCAAATAGCCATTATAAATATTGTCGTTCAGTGTTACCATCAGTGAAAAATAGCAAGCAAATTTTTATTGTAATCAATGTTTTTTTTTCTATTTGGCAACACTTAAGTGCAATAAATTAGTTGGCTTTTGTAATATATTACAAGGCTCGTTATGCTTTAAAATATGTATGCTTTGTTTTTCGCGATTTTTTAAATTATAAATGCTCGTTTACACGGAGGGTATCTTCGAATGAATAGTTGCGTAATGTAACCTATACCGTATGTAGTAAAACATACGGTACAATTTACATTGTTAGAATTTCTTATACTATTTTGATATTAGTATCTTCGGGCCGAGAGACTCTGTGTAAATGCGTATTAACATAACAGCTAATTGTTTTCCATATTTATAAATTGTGCTTGAATATTCCACCATAGATTTTTGTTTAAAAAAATATCGACAATTTTTTTTATTTGGAAAACACGTGATACAGGCAATTATGATAAGTTCACAAAGATATTTCCACAAACAAAACTTAATACTTCAGAATATTTATATTAGAAAATTTAATTATTGAAACAAACCTAGCGCTTATATTCGATAATTATTAAATTAAATGTTGAAAATTAAATGTTAAACGTTCGTCGTAATGTAATATCGTTGTATTGATAATTCTTTAATATTGTTATTTTTGCACTTAGTATCCACAATAAATTGTTTTTAGGGCATTTATTCAAGTTAAATTAATTATAAAACGTGGTGGGTTTTTTTATAAAAATTCATAAATCCTATAGTCTATCAAATCTAAGAAATACATTTGACGATTCTCAAGTTTTATTACGCAATACGTGACGTTGGCGAAGTAAATTGTGCCCAACTGGCACTGCTAGAAGCCACGAAATTATAGAATTGATTTTAATAACTCTGTTCAAACGTATGTTGTCAAATATGAAAAAAAATATTAAATTATTTATATAATTATTATTACATGTAATATTCCTGTACAATGTTTTAAAGAGGAAACTCTTAAAACTAATTAAAAAAACTCTTAAATAATTGTAAAATATATTACAATGTTACGTCATTAAGCTCTTTACAGTAGCGTCGCGACAATTTCAGTTTTCCGAGGAGTATCCGAACAATCGATAAAAATATTGGAATATAGTGTAAATAAAAAAAAAACTACTTTTTTGACGGGAATTGGATTTTGGAGTTCTTTGTCATTGAAAACTTAACGATTTTAAAATATTATTTAAATTACTTAATTTGGGTTGCTTTTTTTTATAATTTTAAGTTTAAAAAAAATAGCAATACTCAACAGAATCATTAATTTTAATTTTTAAAAACTCTTACATTTTAAATAAATAATATCGATTTTCCGTTAAAATCAGATGTTTTCGCTACCGGTTATTTTAGCTATATCTTCAGACAAGTCTATTGACAACTGTCAAAGTGTATTTCATAGATTTTCTTAGACAGACTTTATTATGTTTTGTTTAATATTTTTAATCTACTAATTTTACATTTATTAGGCACACGGGTCTAACTAATATGACCGAAACCTACTTAATAAAGAAATTTCCTATAAAAATTAAAATGACACAATATTTGGGTGCTGTTTGACCATGCCTTGTTTTGAAAGACATATAAAAGATTTTATGAACAAATTATATGTATATGCTCAGTATTACTTTGTTTCAGTGGATTCCCTAAAGTTTTTCCTCATAGCACATCAGTTTATGTCAGTATACCTTAATTTGTAATTGTGATTTCAATTTTAATAAAGTGATATATTTTTAATTTTTTTTCTTTTTTTTATCTTTAAGTTTTCATCTTTATTGAAGTGAAACTTCTTAGAATCGTGGTTTGAAACTCGATGAAACGGAAACGCGACACTAAAAAGAGACATACACATAAATATAATATAGGATTAAGCCAGCCAGAGAATGAGATAGAATACATTTCCATTATATTCCATGTTGCCATGTTAACCGTTGTTATTCTCTGACAAAAATATATGATATAGTTTGTCCATTTTATTAATCGTTTTTTGACAGCTCACGCCCATGAAGTTTCGTATTGTTTAAGTTAAAAATTCATACAAATAATATTGTACTTCATGGACGGGTACCGCCTCCTTAGTGAAGTGCCACACATCGATTACTACAATTGTGCCACAGACTACAAATAATCGGTAGAAATAAATGCTAATATGTAAATAAGGTGTGATATATTATTTTATCAGGAAGACAACATAATTTTAAGGTTGAAATAGAGAAGAAAAAAAGAAAAAAGACAAACGAGTCCAGAGACAGACTACGTCAAAATGGCGGCTGGACGGACGGTCGGTTGATGTTGCCATAGTAGACGTATATATAATTTTTACAATTATAATATTTTTTTCTATATTTATATTTAAATATGAAAATAAATAGCAGCGTTTTACCTACCAATAAAACGCATATTAATTTACTTACCTTATTCGAAGCTTACGTATTGAGAGATAGGCATTACCGTTTCCGCCGTTTATATATCTATCCTTGTCTATCCGTCTACTGTCTCGCTCTCTATCGCACCACCTGGCAGGAGAGTGGGGATCGGTGTGAACGATTCCCACTCTTAAAATTATTTCTTCATTGAGTCGAGATACACCAGGCAGTTATTCAAAGTTAAGCTTCGAATAAGGTAAGTAAATTAATATGCGTTTTATTGGTAGGTAAAACGCTGCTATTAATTTGACTTGACCGTTATTCGAAGCTTACGTATTGAGACTTGTTTGTTATCGCCTGGTGGTGCAAGCGTAGGAGACGGGCGCCAATGTGATGAAATAAACTCTGCTGTATGTAACTGAAACACTGAGATGAGATTTATACTAAGACCAAAATAAACACTTAATGCAGTGCTTTTCCAAAGTCCTTTTACAAATAAAAAATAAATTATATTGTAGATAACACAACTCAACAAGGTATTAATACAACATGGGAGACATCTCCCTGGCCGATTACGGCCTCGGTCGCCAATGTTTCAGAAACCATCTGCCCTCGAGATGTTATGGTTTAAAAGTGTGTTCACTTAACATGACCAAGTTTATTCTTACTTACACTCTCCCAGTCCAGTGATCAGGCCCGAAGCCGAGACCCTAGACCATTAGACCTTGAGAAAAACTAATATCTAACATTACTATGCGCGACCTGATACTCGAACAATAATTTCAATAACTAACATTAACAATTAATGCGTTTTAAAATTCCAATTTTAGTTAATAATAAATTAATAAATTCTTCTGAAAACACACACTAGTTGACTTTCAATTCCTCTTCATTATTAATAAATAGTGCGCCCCATTTTATACCATTTCTTTAATAACTCTGAAGCCCATTGGTTTGGGAAACCAACTCTTTACGTATATAAAAAATAAATAAATCAAATGTAACAACGCTTAAGACTTGATAATGGCTTTGGAAGTGCCTATATTTATAGATAGAGAGATACCTCAAGAGATGAGATGATAACTATGGTAGGGAAAGGTCGACTTCGCACGATACTAACATATGTTGTAGGTAAATAACAATAATAATAGGCTAGTAATAATACTAGGCTGAGATCTAGTTTCCTTTAAAGAAAGCTCAGCTAAACGAGTCATTGTTTCGTCAAAGTGACTCGCATTCAAATTAAAAATTCTAATAATATTATTTAATTTTAGAATAATAATTTCTTAGATTTACACGAATATTTGACAATCCGAAAAGATAAATATTTAATTTAGAATAATTACAACGCCTAACGTAAATCCTTTCCATAAGTGTGCCAAAAATACCATAACGGAAATATACTGTTAAAAATGTTCGCATACACATTGGTGTAAAATTTATGATTTTTTAACAATGACATACGTATACGCATATGTGTACGTTTAACCTCGACGATAAATTTATGATTTACGTAGAAGAAGCTACGTATGATGTACACAGATGCACATCAAAGGATATTTCCACATATGACAATAAATTGAGAACACTTCTTAGGCACGAGTACTATTATATAAATTTTAAAACAATGTCACTTATAAAACCAAGACTCATCAAATATACGCCATAACTTTTATATAGTAGAAGTCGGTCATTTGGTAAAATCCATAACCAAGCAATGGACATTAATTTATCTTGTTAGTGGCTACAAAAACGTGTCACTTAAGCAAAGATTACTTGCCAATGTCACGCAAAATTAAGGATAATTTTTATAATGTATTACGTACCTCCTCAATTTGTGCCTATAATTCATATTTTTCAGAACTACCCTAGCTGTCAGACTGGGGTTTCATAATAATATGTCAAAAACTTACAATTTTAGCGATGATCATAATACGTCATTTCCGTTGTAGTTTATAAATGTGATCCAAAATTAAGGATAAATTTTCACTATAATGTGCTACATTTCAAGCCTTCCTTGAGAAAATGTCAGTTTCTTAATATATTAGTAGTAGTATTTGCCAATGTTATATTTTAAGTTATATTCCATGCTTAACGTTGAGTCTTATCGTTCTTGGAACTTTCAATACCCTTATTATTATTGAAAATTCTCAACGCCGTAGCTTACCAACATGTAATGTTTGTATGATTTCTTAGGCTTTTTAAGGCTTAATTTGCAACAAAGACGACCTGTCGTTACAAGCACAGCAGGAACGCCTAATAGCAATTGCCCCTGATGCCCCGAGTGGGAATATCAGTTTAATATGAAATACATTACGTTACATTTAATCAACGTAATTCAGAAAGGCCCGTAACGTATGCACTTCGTAAAGGTACACTGTTGTTTCTTCTAATAATTTGCCTTGGCCAAAACCAATTGGATTCGGCTGTTCGACCACTGGAATAGAATATTATACTTTTTAACGTATTCAGCAAGTCTTAATGACTCGCTGCTGGGCACAGGCCTCCCTTCATAAGAGGGGGATCAGGCCATTGGCCACTACCCTTGCCCAGTGCGGGTTAGAAATTTGATAAATGGATATACGATATCCATATGTTCAAAAAAAAATAATAATATTATGTATAATATTTCTTATAATGCTCAAAAGCCAACTCATTCACAGGTTTGGAGTTTATATATTACATACATACCTAAATTTATATCTTTTAAATCCGACTTGTATCTTCATAAGAGTGAACCAATCTTATTGAGACGATGCCTTCCTATACAATTATACGCTCAGTAATATAACGATTGTCCTAATTCAGTGAATTTAACCAAACTATATCATGTAAGTGACCATTCAACGCATAGCTTAAATTTTATGCTATACATATCAAACTCCAATTGAGATCAAAACTGCACATTAAGCTCACTGCTATTTTCTCCTGATGTTTCACTGTTTCATTGTCATTTGGACAAGAATCAACAATCTGTAGAGATTGATTTGTGAAACAAGTATATTGTCAATCCCGCGAGGATTTATATTCATATTAAGCTCACTGCCATTTTCTCTTGAAGAAAATTAATATGTGACTCACATTTGGACACAAATCAAAAATCTGTAGAGATTTTTTCATGGAACAAGTATATCGTCAATCCCGCGAGGATTTATATTCATATTAAACTCACTGCCATTTTCTCTTGGAGAAAATTAATATGTGACTCACACTCTGACAAGAATCAAAAAATGAGTAGAGATTGTTTTGTGGAACAAGTATATTGTCAATCCCGCGAGGATTTATATTCATATTAAGCTCACTGAACGGGGCTTACATTCAACATTTGTGATTATGATATTAATATCACAGCTAGATGAAAATCTCAGCGTTAGGGTCTCCATAGATCCTCCTCCAATGTGCTTATATGCTTATCTTGTCGTGGTGGAGGGATCATTAACGTCCGGCAATCCTGCGACGCCCCTTTAAGACCGGGTAGGTTCGGTTTGATTTTAGTGGGTAATACAGGCTTTGCCGATGAGTCTCACATAACCACCTGTATGTATTTGCATGTAGGTAGTATGCGTAAATGTATAACGGTCACCTTTGATACTCCTTAGGTACACACATAACTAATAACCCTGCGAGGGTTAACCATTTTACGTACTCCTGCGGGGAGACGTTTTATTTATAAAATACAGCTCATAGGACCTCTTCAAGGCAATTAAGATTTGTATTTAGTCTAATAACAATATACACATGTACCATGGCAGTGTTATGAAAAATAATTAATGTCCTTATGTTGTCTCATGTTGATACTCGTGTTGACATCTTAACTGCATTTTTGCTCTGAACTGAAATAAAGCTTATAAACTATCGTATTGTCTGCTGAAAATGATATGAAAATAAAATATATGAAATTGTGAACTACACCAGTAGGCTCTTCCTTTTTCCGAAAGCATTTTCACGCTTCATATCACGTACTTACATATATACTACAACTGTAATAACTTTATTTGTTTACATTGCTGAAATGATTTCTCAATCCAATAGACATTCCATTACTCTATGTCAATGTCAATTATCCATGAACCACAAGAATATGTAGGTATATAACTTACATAGTTATATAAAAATGACATTTAAATATGTATTTAATTTCAAGACTCACTTTAAAAATGTACATGTTTATACCCTCAAATTGCTTACGCCATTTGAACAATGTATAATTATTGCATACTCACGCGAACTGTACGGCTATTATTTTAGTTATATTTCTGTCGGAACATGCTCCAAATGCGAGTTACTGGCATCATCGGATGTCTCCACATGCCCTTTTCGTGTTGCTCCCTCTCTTTTGCAACACTGCATATTTTATGTAAAAGTTACCTATATATTAATATGTGTCCTGCGCTTCGCCGTTTATGTTCCTTAAATAGGCCAAATGTTGGCTTCACCTAACAATGATAAACCCCTATATTCTAAAAGTAAACAGTTAGTAAGCAAAGCACTGCAAGGTAACTGATTAAAATGTAGGAATTATACCATTGTATAATCTATGTAGTCAATAGTAAAACAAGATTTATAAGCTAAATTGAATTACGTAGTGCCAATATACTTTACCATGGTGTTAATTTATATTAATTTGAATTATTATGGCATGAAATAGGCAGGGAGATCATGATGGTATTAATTTAAAAATTGCAGTTAATGTAAAAACATTTTTAAACATTTTAACAGTTATTTAACATAACATGCATTAAATTTCTAATTCTCAAATACTATTAAGTATTTGTTACTCGTTTTATTTTGTGCTAAACAAATGTCTAGAAAAATGATGATAATAAATAAGGTAAATGTACTTACATGGTGTGATTCGTTACCTTTTAAAATTTTTGTTGGCGATTACCTCAAAAACTTACATAGAAACGTCTTCCTATAATGCTACGAGTTACTTGTATAGTCGGTGCGAGCCCAAGCCAGCACGACTGCACTCGGCGGAAAACAAGACGCCAATGAAGAAATAATTTTAAGAGTGGGAATCGTTCACACCGATCCCCACTCTCCTGCCAGGTGGTGCGATAGAGAGCGAGACAGTAGACGGATAGACAAGGATAGATATATAAACGGCGGAAACGGTAATGCCTATCTCTCAATACGTAAGCTTCGAATAACGGTCAAGTCAAATTAATATTATATTATATTTTTTACAACAAAATAAGCGATATCGATTATTACGTCCTTTAAGACATCACTATAACTAGTCAGTCGTCGAGCTGTCAAAAAACTATTAATAAAATGGACAGCCCCGGACCTGAGGAGCGCTAATAGAAAACAAATACTTTGAGAATGTTTTTATATTTTTTTTAAATATTACATTGTAATTAAGTAATTTATTGTTAATGTTATGGCTCGTCGTTGGTAGTGTACCGCATCATGTCGGGGGTGGGCTTGCACGGGAACCAGATTTGCGCAGTGGGCAGCGGGTAGTAGGGGTGCGCGCGTATCGCGGTGTTGTCAAACCGCCAGAAGCGGGGCCCGCGGAAGAAATATGTATCTGAAACATGAAAAAGTCATTTAAAGCAAATTTTATAGTCTTCGTTATTTTTTGTTTTGATAAATTAGTAGAAAAATACCAAAGTGTAAGTGTAGGTAAAAAAAATATATCAAAAAAATTGGATTTTAAGTCAGGTTTTTTCATTTAATTTGCAGTTTTATCTTAGAAAAAAAAACATACCGCCTTTCCATATTATAGCTGCATCAACCGGATACGGGAGGTATCTCCACGCTGACATATCTTTAGGGTATCCTTTGTCCATTTTTCCTGTTGATTCGTCAAACCTCCAGAACCTCTCATATTCTATCAAATATGTTTTATTATTGTAGTTGGAAAGGAAAACCGTGGTTAACTCCATTACTTGCGGCGGGATCCGGTAGTCCGTGAGTCTCCCTCGTCGAACCAAACGGAAACGACTGCTGAATTCCCAGAAACTACGACCTAGGTATTTTCAAATAAATATTTGGTATAATAATGGTTTTTTAACTGAGTTTATTCGTAGTAAATTTAAACGCGCTAGAGTCGTTATCGTGTCTTAGAAAAAGCTTCAATTAATAGTTCTATTAACGACACTGGAGCCCTTACTACTGGCTACTGCTATTCATTAAAACTAGTATTAAGATCAAGTCACAAAAATGCAGCCGAATTAATTCTTTTAAAGTCGGTCAAAACTTATGTAAATAAATTGGTTTTACGTTCTAAGTAAAATATATATTCTAATTAAGATATGAGGAATTTTCGGCTCCACGCGTACGACAGCAAATTTATCTTTGTTTCTCCTAAAAATATTGTAACAGACGGGAGGCTAAAAAACTTAAAGCATTTACCTGAGAATATTACAATGTGACCGTTTTGTTTCTCATATATCGTTCGTATAACAGTGACGTGCTGCGGCAGACCTATGAACACATCGTGGAACCTCTTCGGATACCCTTCCATTATCTTCTTCCGATTGCTCAGCACCCAGACCCACTGAAAATAGGCAAGAAATAATAAATTAAATTATCTTTCATATTTAAGTTTTTTTAAATAAGTTATTTTTTTTAAATAAGTTCAAAATGTTTTCAATTTAATAATCCTCATATTTCACAAAATGAATAAAGTTTTGATAAAGTTAATTAAAAAAAAAAAATTAATTAAATTTTCATAAAATGTTCTAGTTATTTTTTTTTATTATTATATTTATTTTTTTGTTATTTGTTCGTCCCATCGGAGTATGAGAGTGATAGGAATAGAGAGTGCACTTGTGTCTGCGCGTACACTTGAGCACTATAATATCTCCTACGCAGTTGGCTAATCTCAATGAGATTGGCCGCCGTAGCCGGAATCGGCTAGGAGAACATCACATTTTTTTGTAAATAAAAAAACATTTCTAATAACGCGAAGATTTTTTTTATCCTTCGAATTTTGCCGTCCCTGAAAACTTGCCGCCCTGGGCACTAGCCGCGAGTGCCCCTGGTGTAAATCCAGCGCTGTTTCCAGTAAATAAAAAAGACAATTAATGTTATGCGTTAATTTTTCTATAGATTCCAGTTTACCCACTCAAATAGCTATTTTTAAAACATCTTGATGTACCTATTAGCTCATAGCCACAGATACAGAACTATACTTACAATCTTTCAATTAGTTTGGATTACTGGGAATCATAGTGATTTAAGCACAAAAATATAGTCTTGAGGGTTACCTCCTCTTCGAATACGAATATCTTTCCTTGGATCACTTGTATCGTGTCGTAATTTGTATAGCACAGATCCGGTATGTCGTTTTCGTCGGTCTCATCTACAAAATAAGTATCTTTACATTTAATTATTTAGATCCATCGATTAAAAAGTACTAGATACACAATCAGTGACAAAAAATGTCCTCATTCAATGAGCGCTCATTTGAACATTTGAGCGCGCTTTTATATTCTTTCTTTTTGTCAAAACAACTTTAAGCATTGCATTTAGGTTCAATTTACATTGTTGCATTTTATTTATTTCAACTAAAATAATTATATATCACCTAAACACAATCGGTGATAGTTTTAACAGAACTTTTGCATGGGATTGTGTATCTAGTAGTTTTTTGATCGATGTTTATATCCTTAAAATTTTATTAATTTTAACTATTTTTACTGATGGCTGGTCTAAATTGACTAATCGCTTGACCCGTGTTGACTGTTGTGCAAAAATGTAGAGCTTAAGATATATTTTTGGATGTATTCAACCGATTAAAATAAAAGTTAACTAAGTATGAATTTAATTAGAATTTAAATTGGTATATAAATAAAATCCCATTAAATTTCGTATGGTCATTCTCGAATAAGGTCCGATGATATTATATATCGAAAAACGCTCTATAAAATTAAAAATTGGCTACTATTCCCAAACACTTTTTTTTATAAAAAACTTTATTGTTGACATTTTGACCCTTTACTAACCTTATGGTGCAGGAAAAGGTAAATTGTAAGAGTGAAGGATTATATATTTGTGTTGCATTTTTTTTACGACACGTTTAACTCAGTTTGTAGTGACCCGACTTGCTGTGCCAGCGGTCGCGGGTTCGAGTCCCGCTGGAGGCTTTCATTTGTGTTATGAGCACGAATGTTTGTACTCCAGTCATGAGTGTTTATATTTATAATATATACGTATTTAAAGTTTTATATGTGTAGTGTATCAAGTATCTGGTATCCATAACGCAAGCCTCATAGCTAGCTTACTATGAAACAAGATGGTGCTATGTGTTAATGTCCCAGCATATTTATTTATTTTTTTATAATTTTCGATAAGTAGGTCAAAAAAGTTTATTAAATAATTATTATAAATATAAATTATTCTAAATATGAAGAATATTAAATGCATTATATGTATGACTATTTCTTACCGTTATCCGCCATGGTGAACGATCGCGATGCGACGGTACTCTCAGTGCTTTCTTCTGATACTGAATTGTGCACATCTTCTTTTACTGAAAATATGAAAAATAAATTAAAAAGTATACTGAGTTATAAGTATACTTAATTTTTGTTGTGACTGATTATCTAAATTGAAGTTAATGTATTAATATAAAGAATTTGTACTTCATTATTAGCAAAAAAAAATATTTATTACGTAAGTAAATTTAAAAGCTTGACATCTTTTAAAAATACAACTTGGTATGTTTATATAGCATTAGTGTCCACACTCACAGTAAAGCTCTTGCATTCCCAAAATATCGTCCTCGTGAAGTTTCTCCACAGGTACTTGGTAATATGGATACATGACCGACGCTTTCACATTGGAATGAGATAATCCTAAAGCATGTCCAATTTCGTGGACTGCCACCGCGAAGAAATCCGTCATATCCTCATCTTCTTCATCTGGGTTATCTCCCCAGAGTTCATCATCATCGAAATGCATGGCCCCGTGCGGAGGCGGAAACGCGTGCGCGACCACGTGACCTGGCCCGTCAAAAGGAAACCTAGGTTAGAGAGGGAAGAATATAGTTCCTGTGCATAGATATATAAAACAATTATTTGTTGAAGGCACAAACAATTTGGTTGTAATGTCTGTAGTTGAAAGGTAGTCATTTTGAAAAATATCGTACATAGTAAGAATTTTTATAATGTGATTCAGTACATATTGGGTTTTTTCGAAAAACCGTTATAGCTTTCGTTGTAAAAGGTAAGTCACTAAAAACAATATGACTAATTGTATGATATTTAAATAAAAGTTATGATTAGGTATAGCGTCAAAAACCTCAAAATAACCTTTTTCTGTTCTATCTATATAAATAAAAATAAATGTTGCTAAGCGCGAAACTCGAGAACGGCTGAACCAATTTCTATTATATTTGATTTTTTGTATTTCTCATAATCCGGAATAGGATAACACTCGTAAGTATAAAAACATCAGAAAAATTAACGAAAAAAAAATGTATATGGCTAACGCTGGCTAATAACTATTTATATCTATTCAAAACGTACCTAGCGACGCAATATATCTTTATTTTATATCATAATTCTCTAAAAATGTTTATCTATTATAAATACGTCATGAGTTATTTAGGTATTTAAACAATAGTACTCACCCATCCCCGTGGTCTTTACTGGCAAAAGACACTTGTATATCTGCCTTGTCGTGGTTCACTTGTTGAAAGTTAAGACCACCATGAGGTGCCCATATCGCCAGCCCGGCGGCCATGAGCTTCTCTACTCGAGGCTTTTGTAGAGTGCTTGAACCGTTTATTATTCTGGAATAACGTTAATTATGATATCGTTAGCAATTATTTCATCAAATGAGTTATCGAGTGTCAAATATTTCTCAGGACATTAAGGGTCTTTAATATTGCTTTATATATATATATATATATATATATATATATATATATATATATATATATATATATATATATATATATATTATCGTCCATTGGTAACGCGCTTGCTTGGAAAATCGAGTGAAGCGGGTTCAAATCCCGGGTCTCGCACCTCTGATATTTTCATGTGCGATTCATTTCCAACATGATTACTAATTGTCTTACGGTGAACGAAAACATCGTGAGTAAATCTGCATGTCTGAGAGAATTTAACAAGTTTTTGAAAGACATGTGAAGTCCGGCAACCCGCACTGGGCAAGCGTGATGGACTATGGCCTAATCACGCTCGTATTAAAAGGAGGACATGCCTAAAGTGGGACCTTAAAACGACTGAAAACAAGATTATTATGTTATCTGTAGAATGACGATTGGGACCAACGATTCGAAATACGTCCAAGCGGTTTATGAATCTATGGAATAACATGTATGAGGAATATTGTATAATTAAAAATGGGCAGGTTTCAAATAAGTTTATAGAATTACTGATGTTTATCTCTTAACAATATCCTAATATTCAGTACTAATTTACCTGTAGGTGATAGCTTTTTTGTTCCATCCTTGTTGTAATATGTAGCGTTTTTTTCGATGTGTTTCTGTTTTCGTTTCTATATCTTTTACTCCACATCGTTTTCTTTTGAATAGCTAAAATAAATGGCAAATTTATTTTTTATCTCTTTAATTACACTCAAAATCGAGTAAAATGTACCACTTTCCTTGCTTTGAACCAATTAGAAAAGGACGAGGTTCTCAATGTAACCTGTATTTTTTGTATCGATCATCTCTGACAAAAGACAAACAAATTAAAAGCAGATCTATGACAATAATTATAAAATGATTTCTTAATCATTTTATTATTATTGTCATTAATTCCCTAATTGGGATCGGTTTCAAAAATACTATAACTAAATTGTGTTTTACTTACTTTACTTGTCTGTAGTCGATTACTTACTTTTTTAGTTTCCGCATCAAGGTGACCAGTTGGACTTAAGCCGGCAAATTCTTGCATTTTTTTTAACGCCTCAGTATGAAGAGCATGTGGGGTGTATGCAAAGTCCATTCCCTTTTCTTTCTCAGGCAAGTATCCATACTTCTTCATAAAAGATATCTAAAAGAAAAATATTTGGCGCATATTTTGTTATCATTGTAAATTAAATTCATTCATTCGTATTTATAATCGGGTTCTTGGAATGATCGCGTAATAATATCATAGTTGATGCTTGTTGAATTACTATTATGCGACAGAGCTAGAACAAAAAGTATCTTTAATAACTTCAGTAATTATAACATTTTAACAAAAAAAGTAACAATTCCATCGGCACAGGTGGTTTATGTATTGTTCCTCCGATAATATATAACTTATTAAAAAAAACGTGTGTATGTACTTATTTACACACGTAAGAACTTTTGCTTCTTTGGCGTAACAGAATAAAAATAGCTAAAGATTTCATCCCGTATTCACAACTCTCTGTTTGTAAAAGTAATGCAGCTAACTTCATCGTGTCGTTTTTTGGCTATCGATGCGCGCGCGCATCGTAAAAATTATTTTCATATTTTTTCCGAACATATTTTAAAAAAGCAATAATTTGGAAATTACTCTGTTGAAGAAGGTATGCAATTCACGGATGTAGCCCTAAAATATATACTTTTTGTTATTGCTATTAAAAATAAGCTCTTATGTCAGTAAAATAAATAAATTATATTAACAAGAATTAGGTCACCAGGTCACTTTGGTACAATAAATATTACAAAGTATCTCGATGATGAATATAAACACAGTATCAGTAACCTATGACCTTATCTATTATATATAAAATAATTAATTACATTTAAAAAATTAAATACACAAATTAGTATTTGAAAAGAAAAATGAATGAGAATACTGGATGATGCAAGGACTGAAGCGTCAAGGGATAATTTTGGGAAACCACTGACCTCTTCAGGGCCTAGTACATCTTCTTCCACAAAAATTGTCTTAGCCGACACTACACTGCACCCTATCAGCAACGAAATCAAAATTTTTATCCCCATGACCACATCCGAACGTTGAAGGAAAGCAAATGCGATCTCGTGTGTACTCCAGCGACCTTTGACAGGCGTCAGATAAAGACTCCGTATAAATACGGCTAGTGGTTAACGCCCTTTGTCTCTTACTCATGTATTTCCTACTTGATGCGCTATTTTAACGATGCGCAGGACATTGGTTTCGTTTTATAATATGACTAATACGAGTTCGAATGTAAATGTAATGTTGAATTTGTATTGAATATTGTTTACTTATATTACCTACTTGTTTTTTCTTCTAGCAATGGTTTTCAGGCTCGTATTTAACATTATCTATATAGGCGCTATATTACTGTACAAATTGCAGTACCATCATATACTTACCGTAGTATTGCGTTCTATATTTAAAATATCTACAGCTTCACATGTTGTGTCTTATAATATCAACTAGCGACTCTCCCTGGCTCCGCTCGGGTTCGTCCGTACTTACCTACGTTTTAACGTTTAGTATAGATTTCTCAGAGATGTGATATTTACCCCGCAGCAAAAAGTAGCCTATATATTGACCCGGATAACCAGCTATCACCATTTTAAATAAAACTATCTTTTCGGATTTTTTTCGCGAATTTATTTCGATTTTTGGTTCCCGACGTTTCGAATGCTTTACAGCAATCATGGTCACGGGAGAAACCATATTAGTAGTCTATGGGAGAGACTAAGGTGCTAGATGTCTCAAAGGTATTATATAGTTGTTACAGACAGCTTGCCCACAAATAACAAAATGAACTCAAAAAATTATAAAATGGCACCAAAGTACCTTACAATATTTTTTAACTATAAACATTTTTATAATTTTAATTAGTTTTATAATTAACATATATTACAACTATATAATACTTTGTAACAATGTAATTAGGTATAGCTTATTTTTTTTATTAATTTAAATTACTCAATCACTTGGTCTATGCAACCACAGCCGTATCCTTTACTTATAAAATATTGGTGAGCTATTTTTAAAAATTTTCTGTGCCTTTTACAGGTGTCAGTGTTTAATATGATCATATTATCACAGTAATGTAATGCATACAGTATTCCAACTCGGGCCTGTCCTTGAAATAATTACCTACAGCCGAGCGGCACGTACCCACGCGACAGGGCTGCTCGAGTGCCCGCCGACCAGTATTTTAATTTCATCTACCTACTTGAGTTTCTTTCTAATTTTGTGATTTCAAATAATATATTTTTTATTAAAAAGTATTATTAGTAGATTTAATTAAAAAATCTCAAATTTATAAGGGTGGTATGTGACCCTTATAAATTGGAGATTTAAAAATATTTGGGCCTCGACTGAGACGTACCAAAACCTTTATTGTTAAATTTAATATTATAAAGAATCTGCCTTCGGATAAAAAGTTTAATTAAAAATACTTTAATTTTTATTTTTAATTTAATTAATTAATTTTTATTTTTAAAACATACGATGCATGTCACGATACTTTTTTGTTTGACATTAGCGAAGTTACGGGAGGAATAAAATGTTTATTTTTGTATTAAATTATAAAATTACATAACATAACCACATTGTACAATTTTCGTATCCAATTATACGATGTGGCAGCCCCGCACGGTTGTCTACCGAGTGTATACCGAACGCGACGCGCGTAGGTATAACTCGATTTCCGACCGTTTGTATGAAGATGGAATACTGTATGTAATATTACCGTGATATTATACTATGTTAAATCATGCTATACAGAGTATAATAATAAAATTAGAAAATGTAGAGCAAACTACTTATTTATGTATTAGTTAACTGGCTAAATGCTAACATTAAAAAAAACACAACCTGTCAATTTTGTCAGGTAATTAACGTTTCAAAGTGAATGTATAATTTATAAATTAATTCAAATCATTTTCTTGAAACAAAATGGAAAAGCAAGAATCGAAATCCATTGAAAAATTTCATTCCATGCCGAATATTCAAACAAGTTTGGCGAGTGAGATTGATCTCCGCCGCCTGTACAGCCTCTCAATGTCGCAGATCAGAAAACGCTCTGAAATTCGAGACCATTTGTATAAGCCGTCCCCTTTTGTAATTTTCCAATTATTTTAATTATCATAAAATGTTTATCTAGAACACTGGATGTCGTGGGTTCAGTTCCAGCGCGGGTAGATTCTACTAAGACAAGATTTATTCAAACTTTTAACCCAACATGTCCATATTAAACTTTCTAAACGATTTTTCCATTTTATTAATAGCTATAGCTATTTTATTTATTTTAAAAAAGATAACACACATATTTTATTAATAGGTAATGTCTTTTTGACAGAACATACGTTGGATTTACGGATATAATCCAAAAGTAAGCGTCATTAATTTGAATAACGAAGGCAGCACGACTGCTTTTTATGCAGCGGGTAACTGCGGTGTGCTGTTTAACTGGACTACCAACAACATGATGGTACTACAGGGACATGTAAGATTGTGTTTAAAATTTTACAAATATATATATATTATAGACTAATAGGTGTTTGAGTTAAATCAACTAACATATATTATTAGTATCCATTCTATTATTGCTTAGATATATATGTACATAATTATTAATAGATATGTTCGAGTGTTTTTAGATTTCTCATTTACATTACGAAATATTCAGACGTCGCGTCGTACAAAATTATGTGTAGATATTATTTTCCGTGTATAATTAAAGCCAGAATAAACAAACAAGTTTAACTTTAATTTTTTGCTACACTCAGAGTTGTTAAAATTCATACTACTTCTCCCAAAATTAAAATCACAGTCAATGGCCGTAAAGCCGGTTGTAATGTGTAAAACAGCTTTTGAGTAATTATTTCTTGTTTATGATATTTTAATGCGAACTTGCACTGCACTGGTACTGCCAATGTTAGTCTATACACTACGACTGTCCTATCTATACTAATATTATAAAGAAGTAAAGTTTATGAGTTTGTGACGTTGTAAGGGGTAAATCTTTGGATCTACACAACCGATTTAGATGAAATTTTGTAAGAAGATAGTTTGAGACCCTGGGAAGGATATAGGATACTTTTTATTCCGGAAATCATCCCTTAAGGGCGTAAAAATGGGGATGAAAGTTTGTATTGGGAAACAAGCTAGGGACGAACCCGAGAGAAGGGGGACTCGTTAGTATTCAATAGAAGTGGATGGTGGACGAATATCTTGTTGACACACACAAAGGGCCTGATTCCCCTCGTATTGAAGGGAGGCCCGTGCCCAGCAGTGGGACGTTAAAAAGGGCTGAATACATACATACATATATATATATATATATATATATATATATATATATATACTAGCGAAAGAAAAACACTAATAGAGATCTATTAGTTCCCACGGGAACCGTTCATTTTTCCGGGATAAAAAGCAACCTGTTGTTTGACCGGCAATATAAGGTATCAGAATGTTATATTTTACTAAATTAGGTGCATATGTTTTTGTGTGCTAAGCTGATACTATAGTTTTTTAACTATCCCACGGGAACTATTTAATTTTCCGGGATAAAAAGTATCTAAGATGTTGCCCGGGGATATAAGTTACCACCATGCAAAATTTCATTTAAATCGGTCCAATAGATTCGGAGATTAGCCCGTACAAACAGACAGAGAAACAAAAAAAATGAAAAAGATCTGGATTTATTCTATTTGTCTTCTTACATCCCCCTGACTCGGTTTTTAGCATTTTTTTGCTATGTACAGACATTGGACCTCTACAGTTTTATGATAATATATATATGAGTTTTATACCTATGGAGATCAAACCCGGTAGGTACCATAGGTTTTGTTACTACTACCAGACTTTCTTAGATTTACGCAAATATTTGACATTTTAAATAAAATTATCTTTTCGACATGTCTAAAAGACTGACATCTAGTCTTAGGCTCTCCCGTGACCATAATTAATGTAAAGCATTCGAAACGTCGGGAACCAAAAATCCAAATAGGTAAATACGCGAAAAAATCCCAAAAGATAGTTTTATTTAAAATACTACCAGACTACAAGCATGACGTAAAGAATCCATTAAAAGAAATGTACAGATGGTTTTCAGTACATATATCATATACTAGCATTGCTCGCCGCTCCGCCCGCGTTCTGGTGACCAAAAACCAAATTTTTAGGTTTTACATATTAGTATATATACTCTTACATTGCTGTTTTAGTATTTTTTTCTCAGAAATGAGACATTTTCCTGCGGTAAAAAGTATCCTATATGTTGACCCGGATAACCAGCTATCACCATACCAAATTTCATCAAAATCCCTACAGTGGTTTTTCTGTGATGCGGTAACAGACAGACAGACAGACAAAAATTCTAAAAACTATAGATTCGGCATCTGTATCGATAATAATGTTTATTTCAATGAAATTTTCCAAAAAATATTTAATGTACAGATTCGGCCTAATTACAATTTTATTATATGTATAAATGTTTTGTACATAATATCGTCTAACCTAAATCGTTTTAACAAAAATAAACGTTAAGCCAGGAAATGTTTTGTTGTACTTACCTACTGTCTTATTGACACAGGTCACTTTTGACTTTGTGACCCGTTCTAATATTCTTAATCTGTATACACTTTTAACTTGTAAAAACTAAATTTTGTTTTAATGTTCTCTACATAACGAAAGCTTTTATTATATTATCGGATGGATCTTGTACTGTACTATCGAATATTTAATTTATTTAAACTTTTGCCCGCGGCTCTGCGCGCATGGTAGGTGAATTTATAAAAAGTATCTTATCACTCAAGTATCTAACACTCATAAGCTTTCTACATTATCATTTACTTAATGAAGCATTAAAAAAAGATTCCCACGAATGGAGAACCTCCTCCTTTTTGGTAGTCATCATAATCAACCATCGTAATCAACCATTAGCCCTCTGACAAAAAATGGTACTCGAATCCCATCTTGACTTTCAATTTACTAAAATATCATGCGTTTTATATAATAATTAGGTACGTACATATATATGTCTTTTTGTGGGTATATCTTCGCCAATCATAAATTGATTTTTATTAGGTAAGTGTGGAATAAAATTATTTTTAACTTATTTTGATATAGGTGTACCTTTTTTCTTAAAAAATAGTTTTGTACCTACTATTCATCCAATAGCCTGCCTGCCGGTAGAAGCAAACCTGGTCGACCAAAAAACACCTGGAGGAGGTCCATTGAGGCGGACCTTAGAAGGGTGGGAATCTCGTGGAACCATATCCAAGCAGTAGCTAAAGATAGAAGGGCATGGAAAACTACTGCTGCAGCCCTAAGTTCTACGACGGAATAGTAGGACTACATTTTTTATCCAAAAAACACGTTTTTATTATGATTTTCAGAAGCACGTGGTTACATGTATAGCGTCAGACGGACTTGGCAAATGGCTCGTTACGGCCGACTCTGGTCCAGAAAACGTAATCATTATATGGGATAGTAGTGATTACTTTCCACAAAATACTTTATTTAACCCTCATAAACATGTGAAACTGGCGAATTTGATTTTGAGTTCAGATGCCAAGTATCTACTAACCCTCGGATATCACGAGAAAGCCAACATAAGTTGGTGGATCTGGTCTTACGGACTGAATGCTCCTCATGGTATGCATATTTAATATTATCAAGTTTTTGACAACTATTTAAGTTATATAAGTTTTAGATACCAAATAAATATTAAGTAAGAGCAAGTGAGAATAATTTATTTAATATTTATATTGACACATAAATATTTTGTATAGGGTATGAAGTAGCATGTTTATATGTTAATTTTTAAAGAATTATAATACAGACAGAGACAGTTCTCTCTGTTCACACACTTTGTTAATTATTTTGTATAAGTCATTACTATAAAGGAGGACAACAAACATCACATTTAACGATGTGTCAGAGTGGTTCATTCTAATATCTAAAATCTAGATATCGCAAACTTAATATTGGTACTTTGTGGAATCATACTCCCAAAATATCTTGTTAGTTACCCGATGTATACACACTGACACAGGCCATAAATTATTTGCAGTAAGGAAGGGTGCTACGATACTCTGGAGAAAACTTTCTATTCTGTGCGAAAAGAATTTCGCAACTTACGCTTTTCCATTTGGGTTTTTTATGATTTTTCTTTTTTTTCTTTAAACAAAACTACATTTAGACAATATTTAATTCGGGAGTATCATACGACTATCCTAGGAGCTTAGACGAAATGATATTTGTCGATTGCTAATGTTAAAAAAAATAAAAAAATAAAATAAAGAACCTTTCTTTGGGCTTTGCCGGAGTCGGGTGAACATTTTGATAGTAAACATGTCGTTAATATATTCGAATTATGATAGGCAAATACGGACATAGTTTTCATATTTTTGTAATAAGCGAATTTTCCGTAACAATACTCATACAGGTTTAATACAGTTTTCATAATTTTTAGCGTCCTTGGAAGTTGACATACTGCGCGGTGGAATCGTCGATATGGGGTTCAATCCATCTAATTCTGAACAATACCTATTAATGACTAAACGTGACATATGGATTGGTGTTTCTGCTGTTAGTCAATTACTTGGCCTTAATTTTTTGATTGTTCTCTGCAACCATCTGGCGCTATGATAGCGTAAGACGTCATTGCGGGTAACAAATGTGCAAAATTCTTCATAAAATGATGAACGAAATTGTGAATCATAACACAATGTACGCACGTATGTAACACTACAGTGGATACTACGTGGAGTTAATTTTTTTTAGGGTTCCATAAAACGGAACCCTTATAATTTCGCTATGACGTCTGTCCGTATGTCACAGTTATTTTACTAGAAAACTACATTGCTGAAATTAGATAGGTATAGTAAGTAGCTATTCGTCGTTCGCTATCGTAGCTTCTACACATTAGTGTGTGAGTCAGACTCGCACTTTTCCGCTTTTTATTACTCTTGTGTAAGTGTTATAAACGAAATAAATATGTTGGGACATTAAACTCACAGTACCATCTAGTCCCATGGTGAGCTACGACTTACGAGGCTTGTTATTGATACCAGATAGTCGATATACTACACTTATAACTTTAAATACGTACATATTATAAATATATACTAATTTTGTTTCAATTTGTTGATATCAATCAAACTTCATATTTAATTATATTTGTTTTAGAAAGTATTTATTGTTGAAAGAGGTCTTCTTAAAGAGACTGACGATTACGAGCTTAAAATTAGAGTCGTGAAACACAAGTTCAATCCTGAAAATGGTAGATTTACCTGTTTCACCTTTGTCCAAGACACCTGTCAAGTCCTAGTTACGACCAGTCGCGGATGTGTTTTGGTCTACGGACACACTATAGAGTTCCATGAAAGTTTAGATGAAACAAATTACGAAACTTTAAAATTCATTAAAGTTTTAAAAGTGGAGAAGAAAAAAATTAATGTTATTAAGAGCATTGATGGGTATGTATTGTTTAGTTCATCATTCCAGTCTATGTTATATAAGTTGACGCGAGCAGTTATTCTATTATTTTATAAGTGAAACTTCTTTAGAATCGTTGTGATTTGAAACTCGATGAAACGGAAATGCGACACTAGAAAGAGACAAACACATAAATATATAGGATTAATCCGGCGAGAGAATGAGATAGAATACATTACACGGGAAGTGAAAAATAGTACTGAATAATATGTTATGTAATATATGTTAAATAAAGTGTAAAATAACTTTTAAGCTTAGTAAAAAAAAACCTTAACTCTTTACTTATAAAGATGAATGTGCAATGTGCATAAATGAAATAAAAGCTATTATGACTAATTTTTGCCATAGCAACCGTTTTTATTATCTGACAAATATATAATATTATATTCTTTCCGTATATGATATTCTATAAATATATGATTGTAATATGCCTTATTTAATTATTGATTTCTTTTAATTTTATTGCGATATTTGCTAAAGAAGTATTACTTCAACCGCACGTAAAGGTAACACGCATCCTTTTTTTTCTATATTATTTTTGGAACTAAAATATAATAGCAATAATAATTTTAATAATTAAATGGATTACTCACTACCTTTAGAAGGCGAAGTTTTTAATAATTTAAATTCTAAAGAATGGTATCAAATTCGAAATATAACCATAACCAATAAAAAAAAACACCAGAATAGCACTACACTTTAAAAATATGGGAGACCATCTTACTAACGAAGATTTTAGATTGAGCTAAAAAGTACGCATACATGATTAGCTTCATGTTAGATTATACAAAATTTAAATTAAATTATATATTAATTCTCAAAATTTAAATGATTTAATTTTAAAGAATTTGCTAAAATGGCTATAGGATCCTAATCTACTTTTTATTATCTATATCCATAATTGTATTGAAATTATTCCTATTTTCATATAGTAGGTATTACATCATAAACAAACTAGAAATGAAAAATAATAATATGTGAAAATACTTGATCTAACATTCAATTAATGCTAAATTAATATTTAACTTAATATCCTATTCGTATAATAGAGCACGCACAGATTTCAGATTCAGAACCTTTGATGACAATTAATATAGAGTCATTCATGTTTTGTTTACATATTTATTACTAGCGACTCAAACTCGCTTTGCTCGAGTTCGTCCGTAGGTTGATTCTCCATACAAACTTTCATCCCCATTTTCACATCCTTAAGGGATGATATAGTACGGGATAAAAACTATCCTACGTCCTTCACAGGGTCTCAAACTATCTTCTTACCAAATTTCATTTAAATCGGTTCAGTAGATCCAGAGATTATCCCCTACAACGTCAGAAACTCACAAACTTTACCTCTTTATAATATTAGTATAGACTAACGGCTCAGTCTCGCTTCGCTCGGGTTCGTTGCGGTTCGGTGCGTTGTAACGGTTAGTATGGAATAGAATGAATTTTATATAGTTTATCTATTTAATAGATAAACTATACATTTTATTACTACTCCGCTCCCTTGGGTGGTAGCATAATGATATATAGCCTATAGCCTTCCTCCATAAACGGGCTATCTAATGCAAAAAGAATTTTTAAAATCGGATTAGTAGTTCCTGAGATTAGCGCGTTCAAAAACCAACAAACAAACAAACTCTGTCTCTTTATAAAAATATAATAGTATCAGTATAGATGTAATATTTTACACATTTTTAGAGTAATCGTGACTGGCAACAATGTCGGAGAGATTCACTTTTACGATAATCAAATGAAACTTCTGTACTGGGTCCACGGCTTCACAGCGGACAGTATTAGAGATATCAGTTTCAACATCTCACCCCGAAGCTACCAGATGCTTGATCCAAAATGTTAGACTTTCTTTTTACTATGTCATGTAATATGTACTTAAATTGTAGTGTATGTATGTATAGTAAGTCTTTAGTACTCGTATAACAATGTCGGTCTAAAATTAATCTCCAGGATGGCACATCTACATATCTGTATATCTTCTATACTAATATTATAAATGTGAAAGTTTGTGAGTATGGATGTATGGATGTTTGTTACTCTTTCACGCCAGAACGGCTGAACGGATCTGGATGAAATTTGGCACAGAGATAGATTATAGTCTGGAATAACACATAGGCTGCTTTTTATTACGAAAAATTGTACGGTTCTCGTGGGATAGGTTTGTTTTTGTTTTTGAGGTGAACCCGAGCGAAGCGAGGGTGAGCCGCTAGTTTATAATACTAATGGATGGGCGAACAGAACGCTGTTGAGTAACGACTCAATTGGCAGATATGATGTGTACTGGTTTTAAAACTATGTAGTATTTTTATAATGAGTATATAATTTAATCATATCAATAATTATATGGGAAAGTTAATAAGAGAGTGTATATTTGAGTGATTGAATACATTTGTTACGCTGATTGAACTAAAATTAGGAACAAAGACGATAAAAGTCATAAAAAATATTGAATTAATAGGTAATAAGATATGTCCATGTTGGGAGAAAGTGGTGAAAGAGATCGATTCCGACACCGGCGTCGTTAAACAAAAGCTTATGAAAAAGGATCTTCCGTCAGACGCTACCACCACCGGCAAACTCTTCCTTGTTAGAGATTTCATCGTTTGTTAGTATGCCTTTAATATTTTATTAATAAAAATTAACTCTTAAGATTTTTTAGAAAATAAAATATTTGAAATCAAGAGGGGTCGAGTTTAAAGTCTATCCTGCTCCTGTTTTCGTTCTCAGGATAAAATGTAGCTTCTTGCTTAATTCTTAATCCACTTGTAAAAAAATTATTCAAATTATTTCGGGTACTAACAGTAGCAGAGGCAGTAGATAAGGTTGTTTCGTCTCGTATGGATATGTTCACATGGGACATGGGGTACATAGTTTGTATTAGTGATGTAACGAATATTCGCATTCGTGAATATTCGCATATTTTTTGTCATTCGCATTCATATTCGCAAGAAACGATGCGAATGCTTGGCGAATGTATTTGTCAAACAAAAAAGAAATTATATAAGTAATGAACGGATTAATGAAAATATAACTGTGCTTTACCCACGTTTTTATATTACTTTGTCAATTTGACTAGGTATTATTTAAAGACAAATGCAATAATACTAAACTATCCTCACATCACAACAAATCTTTTCGCACGAACTCTATGTGACTAACTTGAAACTTCGTTCATTCAACGTGTATCGGCTTGGCTATATTCGGTTTAAACATGGCCGACACGAAATGTCAAACCTGTCTGTTTGACATTTTGCGAGCGTTTTGTCAACTTTAGCATTCGCATTCGTATTTGCGAATATTGGAGATGAATATTCGCATTCGCGAATGTGAAAAATCGGACATTGGTTATATCACTAGTTTGTATCATAGACTGACTCCTCTATGTTATTATTACCTGGATTTGAAACTTTGTATGGAATGGATGGAACTAGGGGGTGGATAGTTGAACTCTTTAATGGCTCATCCAACCTTTTTATTGTGTTCATTTAATTAGTTTTACAGAGCCAAATAATACAGTTCATCAATCATCATTATATTTTAGTTTTTTAAGATAAATAAGAAATATATAGGTTTATGTGTTTGCAGGTACACATAACGAGGGCATAGGTTTTGTGGATTTCGTAACAGAGGAGCTAGTTACAATTATAGATAGCAAAATATTTAATGCTCTCACGCTGTCTGTGCACCCAGAAAAGTAATTTATATTTATTTATTTAAGTATTACTTAAATAAAAAAGAATTTCTAATAATGAAACCAATACTAAAAGACTCACCTACCTATATATTTTTAAACTAGAGACTCACCCTTGCTCGGGTTCGTCACTAGGTACGTTTAAACGGTTAATAGGGAATAAATAGATTATTATATATTAGGATATATGTATAAGGTATGATGAGTTTTATATTCCTTACTCGAGAAATAATTGGTTCCCCATACAAATTATCATCCTATTTTCACCCCCTTATGAGATGAGTTCCGGGATAATATTATATTATCCATTTACTTCCCAGGGTCTCAAACTATCTTCATACCGAATTTCATCTAAATCGGTTCAGCGGATTTTTAGTGTATCCATTACGAACAAACTCACAAACGTACAAACTTTACCTCTTTATATTATTGTAGACAAACTTTGCATAAATGGATACCTAACACAAAAAAAAACCATACTTGAACGCCCATATATTTTACAAATTTTAGAACTTTCTAAAATGAAAACCTTTTGAAATATTTTTGCCATAATTAATATGAAGAAATGATAATATAGAATCGTAGGTAAGTTTGAAGTTGAACAGCTTATTAGTATGTGTAAAATTTCTTTTCTCATAGAACGTACATCTGTATAGGATATGGAGAAGGGATTTTGGAGTTAATAAACTATGTTCAGCATAAATTATTCATAAGAATAGATTTGAGCGAACATTACAAAATCGTTATTCCACCAAAGGAAGATTCTATAAAAGGCGATGAGGAGGTCACTAAGCCCGAACTCTCAGTAACGTGCGTGCAGTATTCTCCTTCAGGTAAAATAAAATTGTGAAGCAATCAGGAAAAATAAAAATAGTTTTTCACAAATCACTTTAATAATCACAGACTTTTACAATTATTATAACTTATAAACTTTTTAAATCTATACACTGGTAATTATTTCACAACACTTTAAATCTGCAGAATAATAAATTTAAATCCCGAGCAAGACATTTATAATATATCCCACGCAATCCCATCCACTCTCCTCTACTCGCCTCACACTTCACAGCGCTACACTAGCGCCTCCTCTTCAACACCCGCTCCTCACTTCACTTTACTCGTTATAATATTATTAAGTTTTACAATTTAAAATATATTTTAAAGAAGTATGTACGGTGTATATTTTAAAATATTTGTGCTTTATAACGACGAGGCTGGACGAAGCCACCTGTAGAGGCATGTGGGTATAATTTCTTTTTAACCAATACAAGGAGATAAACTTAAAGATTGGCCCTTATTTGTGAATGTTTAATTTATTAGTGGAATAAAATTTATATGAAACTTTTAGAGTAAAAATGATTTAAAATAAAAAATAAAATATTCAAATTAATTCATAATTGGCGTGAAAAAACAATCGAATTCAAGTCAATTAATTACATATAAGGAATATACTATACTAGTATATATGTACCTTATTAGAGCAGAAACCGAGTTTTATAATCAAATTATTTAATACTAGCATTGCCCGCGGCTCCGCCCGCGTTCAGATGACCAAAAACTAAATTCTTAGGTTTTACATATTAGTATACTCTTCTTACAATACAATGCAGTCTTTGTATTTTTCTCAGAAATGAGATATTTTCCCGCGGTAAAAAGTATCCTATATGTTGACCCGGATAACCAGTTATCATCATATCAAATTTCATCAAAATCCTTCCAGTGGTTTTTCTGTGATGCGGTAACAGACAGACAGACAGACAAAAATTCTAAAAACTATAGGTAGATTCGGCGTCTGTATCGATTATAAAGTCTATTTCAATTAGATTTTCCAAAAAAATTAAAGTACAGATTCGGCTTAGTTACAATTTTATTATATGTATAGATTAAATATATTTTAATGAGTAATGCACTTATATAAGAGATCATTACAAAGGTAACTATTTAAGGTTTACACTTGGCATGCGGCCTGGACACCGGCCAGCTGATCTTCCTCCATCCGACCACCATCAGCATACTAACGGATACCCCGCACAAAGACACAGATCACGCCATAACGCAGATTAATTTCAGCTGTGATTCTTTGACTATGGCTACGGCTGTAAGCATACTTGTTTAGTTTCTCCTATATTTTTATAGTATAATTTTATTAGTTTTGTCATCACGATTCCTACATTATCTTTATTAATGTACTAAATTACAGCTGTTTAGTTTTTGCCATTTAGATGGGTATTTGAATTTATATTTAGCAATTTTTTTATCCTTAATTTCTTTTAAATATTATATATATTGTATTTATTTTTATGAACCCCACTCAAAAGTCGCGTGGAAACACTCGGGGAAACTCGAAAGCTTAAAACCTAAATTGTGCCCAAATGGCACGCCTATATGCCACAGAACTAAGAACTTTGAAGCTTAAACCTACAAGGAGATATAAATCTTCTAGCTCCATCATCTTGTCGATGATATTAAATATTAAATATTTATCATATACCATAGTCTTCCAGGACATGGTTGCATAGTTACCTTAAAGTTAAATAACGTTTCATATAAAGAATTTTCAGGATAAAGGCAGAACAGTATGTGTTTACAAGTACAGTTGTGAGTCATTCGCTTGGAACTTTATAGGAAAACACAGAGCACATTACAAGGACATCACCTCAGTTTTCTTCTTACCCAAAAAAAATGATAATGGAGAATACAAACTATTATCTCTTGGAATGGACAGAATTATGGTGGAATATGATATTGGGGAGAGTTCTGATGAATATTTAGAAGTACTGAGTTTGGACAGAGTGGAACAAACGGCTGTCCCACAGTATGGCATACCCTGGCCCAATCAACCCGACATCGACCCTGAAACACAGCGCACTGATTTACCTATGATTTTAATTGCCACTGACGAGGTTTAATTGCTTTTTTGATTGTTTTATACATTTAAATGTGTTTAGGGTACGTTTTTCACATTTAAATATTAAGTTTATTTTATTGCATTGCCACTCTGGTAGCTAGCTTATAAAGCTGCAGATCCAGAGGTCCTGGGTTCGAGTCTCAGTTATACCAAGTGTAATTATTGGGTTTTTCTATAAAGAAATTATTAGTAACAGTAGAGTTGGCACTTGGCAAGTAGGCGGTGTTTTACCCCCGTGCCTTGAAGAGCACCTATGGCGCCGCTCCTACGTCTGTTCTGTCCCCAATGTTTTCCAATCGAACTTTGAGAGTAAAAGGAATAGAAATGGCTATTCTCAATGAGATTGGCAACCGCGTCCGAAATTTTTCAAGGGAACATACTATTATTCTTAGTAAGAACATAAGAATACTGTTTTGTGTGCAAATCACAAGCTGAAAATGAAAACGCATAAATAATTATAATGTTTAAATTTATCTTAAAATATTGTTTACAATATTTTAGCACAAATACAAGATAGTGAATTATGCGACGACAATGACATTATCAACTGTACTGGGCCCTAGATATGAAACGCCAGTATGGAAAATGCAACTGATAAAAAGTACGAAGGACGATGTTTCGATCGAGTATTTACTTTATTCGACAAAAAATGTGATAGGTCTGCAAAAAATGCCCCTAGACGGCAATCCTTGGAAGCACGTTGCTTTACTTGGACATCCCATCGAGGTAAATGCTTTAGATTGTGTTATTTTTGTAAAAGTCTCTTAGACTGTAAGATTCTGTAAAAGTCACATAATATTCTGACATGCACCTAATAGACTCAGGTATATGGTAGAGGCTGCCAAGGAAAACCATAGATAGATAGGTTATTGGGATCTGTCGTTAGAAGGTAAATTGAAAAGCCAAGTTAATCCAGTCCAGACTGGGGTCTTTCACCACAAAAAAATTGATGACGTAAAACAATCGTGAGAAATCGTTTGTCTGAAAGTACTTATTAATTAAATAGTATTTAAAAGAAGTAGATAATCAGCTAACCGACAACAAACAACTACCAACAGCACTTGGCTAGCGAGATAGAATATAACCTGATCCCACTGAATCTTGAAATCCTAAAAAGTTTTGTAATAAAAGATAGACGAATTTTATTTATGTAATTTATGCAGGTGATAGACATGTGCTTTCGTGAAGATAGCGGAACTTTATTTACCATTGGAGCAAAAGATAACTGTATATATCAGTGGGCGGCTAACTACAGGTGGGTACTATTTTAAAACCAAGAAAAATTACTCTGGAATTTTTATGCACTCAGTTAAAACAATAATATTAGAGGAAATAATTTTTTATCTAAATTATTATGTTTTATAGCCATTTTTCTTTAATTTAATCTTTTTTAACTCCCGACGCAAAAAACGAGTGTCAGAAGTTTAACTTGTGTATCTATCTGTATGTCTGTCTGTCGCTTCGTAGCACCGAAACAGATGCACCGATTTTTGTTTTTTTTTTATTTGAAAGCTGACTTAATCGAGAGTGTTTTAGCTATAAATCAAGAAAACCCGTTCAGCCGATTACTGGCTAGCAGCTCTCTTCTAGACGGTCAAAGGATATGAGCAACTTGCCACAATATAGTAAGTAATCTTGGCCTGATGCTGCGGCGTCACCTGGAATCTGCAAGATTCTCAACTCTTTACTAAAACACTGCTACATAGATTGAAATTGATTTATTCAATAGGCTATTGTGTCGGAGTTTTTTAAATATTTAATTTAATTTCTTGAGGAATCAAATGAAATAATTTTAAGACACCAAGTAAATTCCAACACCAGATCTGTGGAGACAACCACAAAGCAAGGTGGTGGTGACCTGGATCCATACTATTGTCTGATAGAGAACGGCCGCCCCGGCTGGCTGTTCCACGAGATAAGGGATCTGTTCTACTACATACAGATACTGTGCCAAGGAACCTTCTCCCCGACGATGAGACAAGTCAAAGACTACATCCCAATAAATTCGTTACCGGACCTGATGAGAGCGTTGGGTTATTTCCCAACGGAATATGAGGTTAAATTCACTTAAATTATTTGGACTTTGTATATTTTTAGGTATTACTCGTATATGTTACTAGATTTTTAACAATTATAAATATGCTAGATTGCGATTTATTTTTATTTATTATTATTTCCCTAAAACTTCTTATTTAACTACATGAATACACACACGTAGTGTATAGCTCGAACTTTATCTCTATTGGATGCTTTGGTTATGTTGAAATTTTATTTTTATTAAGGATTAATATCTTGTATTTGTAATAGGCATCGAAATTTTACTTATAGATATTCAGTTAGGAGTTTTCGTGAAACGAAAAGAGGTCTACTTATATGGCAAACATTGTTTTAATTTTATTACACGTCCATAAGGCAACAAAACAGATTTAATTTTTAGTCCTTTGAGCTCAAGAAATTGATAAGTCCCTATAATTTTAGTTTAAAATATAATTTTAACTGAGAACAATTACACAATACAGGTGGAAAATTTATTGATAGAAGCGAAGTACAAAGTATATCAAAAGGTCCCATCTACTGAGATAGATTTCGAAGAGTTCGTGAAACTGTACCTTAATCACAGACCAGCGTTCGGAGAAAATTTCAAGAAAATCAAAAATGCCTTTCGACATTTTACTACCGGAGAAAGCCTATCTTTAAGCCGCGATGAATTCATCGATATGATCACTAATTATGGTACGAAAATATGTAGCTCGATGTGGTAAAATAAAGCGTGATTTAGTACCTATTATATATCTATAGTCTATAGTTATACTAATATTATAAATACTAATATTATAAATAAATAGGGGGTAATCTCTAGATATACTGAACCGATTTAGATGAAATTTAGTAAGAAGATAGCTTGAGATTCTGGGAAGGACTTAGAATACTTTTAATCCCAGAAATCATCCCTTAAAAGCGAGCGTATTATACTGGGCTACCTGTTGCAACTGCCTTATAATGATAATAGCTTTTGTAAATCGTAACAGCATGATTTCAAATAATAAAATGTATTTATATGTTATTATTGAATTTCTAAAAAAAACGTCATTTTTAAAAATCCCGATGCTCTAGTGCTCAAAATATAAAAAACTGAATGATATACCACTCTAAACACTTTAATATACTCTACAGTGTAGAGACTACGCCATAAAAACACGACTACTTACTTTGTTGTTGTATTTATTCTAAGCGTTTCATTGCTTCATGTATCCAGGCGAGTGTTTCCCTCGTGACCTGTGTTGGTATTTACTTTCAATACTCAACGGCCATACTTTTGAGGACAGAGCCTCAATGATGGAAGGAGATTTTTCATTTCTACCGGAGGTATCAATATGATCTACTAAAAATGTAATAAAACAGACCCATCAGTAGCGTAGAATAAAATGGAATAAACATTTTCTCAATTTAAAAAAAAAAGAATGTTGAATCGTGCTGCTGCCATTTGTGTCGAATTTTTCTATTAAACTATCTTCTAATATTCGTGAATTTTTCAAGAGAATTAAAAATAAATGTTTTAAAGTTCATTTTGATAATCTAGATTGATGCACATTACAATTTTTGTAATTTTGATAAACTAAAGTAGCGAGGGCAACTTGATTTATTTTATTATGACCGCGGAAGTATTAGAACGCATAGAATTAATAATAAATACGTCTTGAACCCAACTATCGTGCGGGGGAGGGTAATTCCTTTGGACAATTCACTCCCAAAAAAAGAACAGACAGACGGACATATAGTTACTTTCGCATGCATATTAACACCTCCAGGTAATTTTCTAAGAAATTAATTAAATTTCTAAGAAATCTATTGTTAACTGTAACGCCGCCGGCGTGTCCGCGGTCGTGGAGAGATTAATATTTCAATGTATGAGAAAGTACCCAATAATGACTGCAAATTATATTGAGATGTAAAGAACATAAACATGGACTTTTTGGCAACTTAATGTAATAGGTATAACGTTTGGAATATTTATTGTATCCAAATGCTAAAACCATTTGAAGTTTTTGTATATTAAAATTATATTTAAATAAATGTTTTATTTTTAGGAAATAACATTCGAAGAATTAGCCAACAATATTATAGGCATTCAAGACTTGGAGATGTTTTCAGAACAACACTCAGTAAAGGAATCTTTAGAATCTCAGACGGCTTCTTCAGATTCGGAGGAATTCTTAAATTGATAAATATTATTATATTAACATAGGCTTTATTTTGTAATTAAAATAGCTGATTAAATAAATACTTTTTTTATTTAATTTTAACTATTATAATCAATAATGATGTTTTTAGCTTTAAGTTAGTACCTATGTCTTATTAAAATGATTTGAATAGATGAAGTCGTTGCGTAAACATAATTAGCAAATGTTTATCTGAGTGTTTTGTATCTGAGGCACACTATTTATAAATTATAAGCATCAAATATTTCTGCCTTCATGTGCGTTCACCTTGTCGTGATGGGGGGCTCATTAGCGTCCGGCAATCGAGCCAAGCGCGAAACCAAAAAACGTACTGGGTGGCGGCCCACCTCAATGGTCGGTGTACCATGGGGGTTGCTCCTGGTACTTCTCTGATAATAAACTGTTGGAGTAACCCCATGGTTGTTGTGGTCTAATTCAGCAGACGTGCCGTGGGGGCCTTCGTGGTTGAGTGCGTGCGTAAGTGATCCTGAGACGCCCCATTGAGACGGGGCAGGTTTCGTTGGGTTTTAGTAGGTAGTACTTGGCATTATTGGTAAGTCCTACATGCAGGTGGTTTGCCTATAATAAATGCATTTCCCAAAGTTTAAAAACATTTTGTCTGTCTGTCTGTTACCGCATCACAAGAAAACTACTGGAAGAATTTTGATGAAATTTGGTATGATGATAGCTGGTTATCCGGGTCAACATATAGGATACTTTTTACCGCGGGAAAATATCTCACTTCTGAGAAAAAATACAAAAACTGCAATGTGAGAGTATACTAATATGTAAAACCTAAGAATTTGGTTTTTGGTCATCTGAACGCGAGCGGAGCCGCGGGCAATGCTAGTTGCATAAATAAATGAGAACTAAATACTAAACAAGCTTACGTATGAACATAATATTATGCAATATATGTTTATGTTCTTACGGCATACTTACATGTAGCAAGACTTGCAGCACGTTAGTATCTTAGTATTATGCATTCATAATGCTTAGGTTCCGACGTAAAAATCTATAAATATATTTATTTATAGTTTACAATTTACGCAGTCAGATTTTTTATTTGTGTAACTTATTTATTAGGGGGATCGTATAAAATCAATAAAGAGTGTTGTTTAAAGTAAGTAAGCTTAAAGTTGTTTTAAAAAAAAGCGCGCTCATTTGAGCGAGCAAAAAATGTTCTCACATTGAGACTCAATTGGACATTTGTCCAATTGAGCGCTCATTCGGTGAGAACATTTTTTGTCGCTGATTGTGTATCACTTTTTTGATCGATTTGTAGAATAGAACATTTTTAAATTGTTAGAATTCAAATGTTTTCCTCAGCTTTCATTCAGTTCAATATTATTTTTTGTTTCAAATTCAAGATATTTTATTTAGCATTAAATTATACAATTTTTTACTTTACGTCATGATACCACCAGTTCGGAAAGAAATATCGTCAATCCTGAGAAGAACGGGCGATAAAAACTGAGCAAAAGTAAATATTAAGTAATAACATATACATAATATAGCTAATAGCTAAATATATAAACTTTGATAGCAGTTTGACGACGTACTTATCTACTGTTATCAGAGTAAATAATTTGGTTATAATATATCTACTAATATACGGAGTGTTCAGTGAATTATCAGCAAACGATGGCGAAAGAATATGAAGAGTTTCCTTACGAGATACAAGATGTGGAGCCGGAGCTGGCTGAAGAGCTTATGAAACATTCTACAGGTAAGGTACAAAGATTGATTGATTTGTACAATAAATTCTTAAATAAAACTAAAAATTTCTAACTGACCAAAACTAAAAAGATTTAAATGAAAAAAATATTTACATATACAAATTACAATTAAATAAAAAACCCGAGTATGTATAAAGTGAACTAAAAAGATGAGAACGAGTTGACGAAGAAATTTATGTATAATAATAAGACTAATAAGACGTACATATGTATCTATGTATGTATGTTTAACGTTTTACATGTTTTATACTATCTCGTTTAAAAATATACCTATCGCCTGTTGCTCCAACGCTGCGATTGAAGGACGAACCACCGCACTTGCACATACATAAATCTATTAAAAATAATTAATAAGGTTTCCATAAAATTTTCTTTACACAACAGAAAAAACTGGTTTCGTGAGAGTAGGGCCAAAGGGTTACTTTTTTCCAACGAAATTCAAGGAGTTTGCGCCGAGTTTATACAACATGGAAGTGCGAGAGGATGATATTTTCGTAGTTACATTCCCTAGATCTGGTAAGTACTTAATAACCATACATAATTTTTGGCTTTAAGTTGAGTAGTTTTTTTATATTCATGATTTTTTTCTAAACTCATTTTAAGGAAAACTGTGTAGGTCTTAAAAAGCTCTTCTAAGCATAAAAAATAACTTGATTGAATGAAAATCGAACCAATATGGTTTAATTTTGATGATACCATGAAGTTGGGATGTGGTGGGTTATACTCCTTTAGAGAGCACTTAAAGTTGATTTTCTGCATCTGTATTCGCATGCAGGCACAAGTGCCTCTTTATTCCTCGCACTCTCATATTTCGATGAGAGGGTAATTTAATATGACCGGTGCCAGATCAGGTGCAGGATCGACGGCTTTATGTGCTCTATGAAGCAGAAAATGTTTAAGTTGTGGTCCAATATTACTATAATGGCAAAATATTACCTTACCTGTAAGAGCTTTAATTATTTAATACATGTTACATGACTAAATAGTATTAAACTAATAATTTATCGTGGGGATTATGGGGATATATCTAAAATAAAAATAAATAGGTACGCATACTAAAATGTCCAATCTATATATATAAATGAATCACTATTTCTCTTGGTCACGCCATCACGCGTGAACTTTTTTTTGTTGTGTTTGTTATTGTCAGGAGAAGGTTCTTATGAAAGAAAAAATTTAAAAAATTGCGCGGAAAATTATAAAGTTTAAGAATACTTTTTCGAGAATCAACCTAGAGACGAACCCGAGCGAAGCGAGGGTGAGTCGCTAGTTATTTTATAAATGCTACTTGTCGTATAATGCTATACATCAAGTTAAGATTTGGTTCATTCTGCTTAGCATATGTATAAGAAATATGTTTTAATAATTTGAAATTTGAATCAAAATAGCTACAAAAATCTTAGCAATTTTTTTCTACTGTAAGACTGCAAGAACATAGTGAGTGCACTTTTAGCTATTCCTATCCAGTTTTCACCGGTAGTTGTATACTGGCGGTACTTAACGCTAGACTTTCTCGTATTTTAATAATGTTGTGTACATTTTATTGTCACAGGGACGACCTGGACCCAGGAACTGGTTTGGTTGCTACAAAACAATTTGGATTTTGAAAAAGCCATCAATACGTCTTTGCCTACGAGATTCCCGTTTGTAGAGTAAGTCTTACTTATGTGATTGTAAACGTTACATTTGAATAATAGTATAAAAAAGGAGTGAAAGCAATGATTATTAAAAATTAAATTTTAGCTAACAGATAGATGCTTACTATATGCCTCTAAACTATTAAGTAGTTGCGATAGAAAAGTTCCATAAAAAAAAGATTTTACTAAAATAAATTTAAAAATAAAACAGATTCTCGAGTGACTAAACAAACATAAAGACGATGTGATTGCTAAATTACTAAGTAGAATTCTTTACATACATCTATATAATTTTATATAAAATAATTACGCGTAATATATGCAAATGAACGAAATAAACGCGAGTAAACGACTATACTTAAATATTTTCGTATGTACCGTAAGGAGTAAGTAGGACTTCTTATTTTACTATCGTATTCAAATCTTCTATAATATAAAAATGAATCGTTGAATGTGTTGGTAAGTGCAAACCTCGAGAGCAGCTGAATCGATTTCGCTAATTCTTTTTTTAGAATATTCCTTGAAGTACGAGGATGGTTTTTACGGAGAGAAAAATTTTAAAAATTGCCAGAAAAAATCTAAAAACAACACTTTTCTATACTCCCATACAAAAGATTCGTAATAATACTTAAAAGTCAATTTGAACTTTAATACCATACCATAAAGTTTAAGTGTTAGTGGAGAGGTTCCGGGAAGGCAAAACAATTGAGTGACGTTAGTATCGTATAAATATTAATGTCAATATTTGTCAATATTATTAACAAAAATTTAAAATGTATATGGCTAACGCTGGCTAATAACTATTTATATCTATTTAAAACTTACCTAGCGACGAACCCGAGCGAAGCGAGGGTGAGCCGCTTGTACTATTATAATTATCTAAAAAAGCTGATAAGGCAATATTGGTGCTAGGAACAATATCTATACATATAATAAAATTCTAACTAAGCCGAATCTGTACATTAAATATTTTTTGGAAAATCTTATTGAAATAAACATTATTTTCGATACAGAGGCCGAATCTTTAGTTTTTAGAATTTTTCTCTGTCTGTCACCGCATCACATGCAAAAACTGCAATTTAAGAATATACTACTCGTAAAACCTAAGAATTTGGTTTTTGGTCATCTGAACACGGGCTAAATGCTAGTTCATTATAAAAAAACATATTTTACAGACATACTATGCTAATTCATCCAGAATTCGAAAAGAGGATGTACGAAAAATATAAAGATGACAAGGAAAAACTAGAGATCGCAGTAGCAATCCATCAGTCTGGCATTAAGAAAGTCGCTGACATGCCGTCACCACGCTTCATCAAAAGTCATTTGCCCCTGTCTTTGCTACCACCTTATCTATTGGATAAAACTAAAGTAGTGTACGTAACAAGAGACCCAAGAGATGTGGTGGTCTCGTTACACCATTTTTATCGGTCAAATACAATTGTGGGCGCGCCAGATGATTTTAAAGAGTTTTGGAAATATTTCATTAAAGGACAAGGTAATTATTCAATCATTTGATTATATTTATCTCTAGCCAAGTTGACTTTATGCAAACGCTTATAGAAAACGAATACCTAACCACGTGACCTAACGCTGAGTTTTCTATTAGAGATAGCGTTTATATAAAGTACTTGGCTGAGACCCGTTACTTATTATACTTCAGTACATCACAAAATAGTATATTAAGAATTTTAAAGTTTATCATATGATTCAAGGACTAAATTTTTAAACGGATGGAGGATTTGATAGAAAATTAAATAAAATATATAAGCAGAGTACATACCTATTCTCTAGCGCTTACAGATGAAAGATATTTAAAACTTGCCACTTAACCTCGCTTCACTAAGCTTGAATGGTTTAGGAACGTATAAAAGACGAATCGTCCAAGGAAAAATTCTTTTTTTTTTGCGCCAGGAACCTTCGCAGGCGTATACAGAATAACCCACCAGTTTCATCACAATCGGATCAATGGTTTAGGAACGTAGAGGGCAAACATACGAACATTAATTTTTATATAACTAGACAGATAGTTACTCGTCGATATATAGAAAATGATATACTCGTAATGATATATTTATTATATATACATATATATAAATATTGCAGTTTATTTCGCCCCAATTCTTGAACATGTCAAAGAGGCGTGGAATATGAGACACCATCCAAACATGCTATTCATCTTCTACGAAGAGCTATTGCAGGTACATTTTTTCACCTTCATTGTCCAATTTTATTTGTATTTCGTAGTTTCACTTATATTGATATAATTTTTTATTTACAAATACGTAGTTTTGTGCTTAAAAATGTGTTTTTGGCGACTTGCAATTTATCTCCTATATTTATACTGATTGCTTGAAAATTTTGACTTAGTATACCTACCTAAGTGTTTTAGGTGGATAAGGTTGTAATGCTATCATATATTTTGCTGTAAGTCGTTACAAGACGGCGCTTTTTCACTTGTACACCATTTAACCATACATCACGGTACCATAAAGATAGATAGATATTTGGATATGGAGAATAATTTTCGCGGGTTCTTACTCATTTACGCGGGTACGCCATGGGTAAAAAGTAGTGGGGTTAAATTATATTATTATTATATGATCTAGAAATAAGACAACGTTCCAAATTCCTCTGCTAAAGTATACAATGAATTGCCATGCCATAGATACCTACATTCACAACAAAAAAAATTAAATACTCTCATATTTAACATTCTATTTTATAAATTTGTAATTGTAAGTTAAGTCGGTACATTACATGAAAATATGTATTGTTATAGTATTTTTTTTTAAATTTCAGGATTTACCAGCGATGATACAAAAAATTGCAAGTTTTTTGGGAAAACATTATACGGAGGCTCAAGTAGAGCAGCTCTGTGATTACGTCAGCTTTGATAAATTCAAAAGAAACCAAGCCGTCAACCTTTCAATGATTAGTAAGGTTGAAATTTTTAATGATCCAAACAGTTTTATGCGGAAAGGTACTTATCTATATGATACATATTATTTATCTATACATAAAATGAAATTCTGACTCGAATCTGTAGGTTAAATATTTTTTGGATATTCTTATTGAAATAGTCATTATTATCGATACAGAGGCTGAATCTAGTTTTTAGAATTTTTGTGTGTATGTCTGTCTGTGGAGGGATTTTGATGAAATTTGGTATAATGGTAGCTGGTTATCCGGGTGAACATATAGGATACTTTTCACTGCGGGAAAATATCTCATCTCTGAGAAATCTATACTTAACGTTAAAACGTAAGTAGGGACGAACCCAAGCGGAGCGAGGTTAGGTCGCTAGTTATAAGAGACTTACTCATGGACTTACAAACTGATATTTAATATAAATTTATAAATATGTAAAATTGACGTTTCAAAATTGCTTGTAAAAGTCTATTTGAATAAAGTATATTTTGATTTAATTTCAACATTTTACAATGTAATATATAAGCCTGTAAAGGAGTTGTGACCTAAACTCCAAGCAAGTGGTTACTTATAACAATAATTTCTTTTAATTAAAATTCTTTCTCTTAAATTTAAAAAGAAAATTAGATATCCATCTTTCCCTTTATACTCAAAATAATCAAATTATTGGTAACAACTGAAATAACAAATATGTAAATTGGATAAAAATATTTCAAAGATAACTTATAAATTAATTTTAAAATATGATAATATTTTACAGGTGTTGCTGGGGATTGGATCAATTATTTTGATCAGCAAATGAAAGAGGAAACTACCAAATGGCTTGAAGACAACTTAAAAGACACAGACTTGGTTTATCCATCGTATACTTAATTAAGTTAATAATTATAGTTTTAAAAAAGCTGCACGCTTTCGACGAACTATATAACGCTGAACGCATCGCCAAAAGCATTCAAATGAGCCCAAGCTTTTCTATGAAGACAAAACCCACCGTTATTTTCTTCGAAAATATTTTTTTTTTAATACGAGAAATATTATATACATAAGTATATGTATTAATAAACACGTTAAATGTAAAATATGTATGTATGTATGTCCACTTATTTGTCCTCATAAATACTGGATATTTTAAATACATAAAAAATTATAGCTTTTTATGTACGTCTATTATGACTAGACTAACCTACCTAAAAGATTCAGATGAATGCTGTTAGCTGACGTTATGATGAAATGGCTTAATTTTGTCTGAAAAATTCTAAAATAATATTATCTATCAACTGAGGAGATCTTTTTTTTTATCAAAACCCATGCATTATTGTGAAGCAATTTTAACCGATATGATGTTAATCTATACCTGAATAACAATTATCTTAGAATTTATCACAAAATAATTATGTTGGCAGCGGCGTATGTGTGTGTATTAGTAGGTTGGCCCATGATGGTTCAAACTACTAATCTATAATAGGTATTCCATTCTGTCTAACGGCGCGGCGCGGCGTCGATACAAGGGCATCGTTCGGAGCGACCGTGGTGGGACGCAGGAGGCGTACCTGATTTTTTTCTATATTATTAAGTAATATGTAAAATTGTAACTGAGCCGAATTTGTATGTACTTCAAATATTTTTAGGAAAATCTTATTGAAATAGTCATTATCGATAGGTACAGAATCTAATTTTTAGATTTTTCGTCAGTCTGTCTGGGAACGCATCACGAGAAAACCACTGGACAGATTTTGATGAAATTTGGTATGATTCGGGTCAACGTATAGGATAATTTTTACTGCAAGAAAATATCTCGTTTCTGAGAAATGTATACTAATCATTACTGCTACTAGTAGTAGTAGTACTTCCTATTATAGGACTTTCGGGAAATGGCTTCCGGGTTGACAGGTGTAATGGTGACGATATCTATACATATAATAAAATTGTAACTAAATCGAATCTGTACATTAAATATTTTTTGGAAAATCTTATTGAAATAAACATTATTATTGATACAGAGACCGAATCTATAGTTTTTAGAATTTTTGTCCGTCTGTCTGTTACCGCATTACAGAAAAAACCACTAGAAGGATTTTGATGAAATTTGGTATGGTGATAGCTGGTTATCCGGGTCAACATATAGGATACTTTTTACCGCGGGAAAATGTTTCATTTCTGAGAAAAAATACAAAAACTGCAATGTAAGAGTATACTAATATGTAAAACTTAAAGCCTAGTTCGCATTAAGCTAGTATTTTAGTCTAGTAGCGAGTAATTTAGTAGCTAAATTACTCGCTACTCACCAAAAATCGTTCGCACTTTGGTCGAGTACAGTTTACAAGTGAGTGATGTTTTGCAAGATTCATTATTTTTTCCAAATCTAAGTATGCGGAATGTTTCATATGCTTGTTTTTATAATGCAAGGAACTAATATTCCACAAGCATTCGTGTTCAACATATTTCGAAACAAATTTAAAATTCATTTCTTCGCTCCAGCGAAACGACATTATGGCGGCAACTAATGAACTCGACTAATTCGACAGGTTCGTACTTGTTTAGCCGGTGAACCAGTGAGCTCGGACGCGTGGTGGGGGCTTCTACTCGCCCAAAAAAATAGAATAAAATGGATTGACTCGACTAAATTACTTACTAAACTAATCGACTAAATTACTTACTAAACTAATCGACTAAATTTTTAGTGTTCAGACACGTTTAGTTACTAAATTACTCGCTACCAGACTAAAATACTAGCTTAATGCGAACTAGGCTTAAGACTGATTTTTGGTCATCTGAACGCAGGCGGAGCCGCGGGCATTGCTAGTATTAAATATAATTCAACCCTTTTAATCGGGTCATAGTCTGACATTCTGGCCATATTGCGTTGGTAGACTTCACACACGCTACAAGAATGTTAGGTTCTCTTAAACATGCAGGTTTTTTTCAGTGGTAATCATGTTAAAAATGATTTGCACACGAAAATATCAAGTGCAAAACCCAGCATTGAACCCACATCACTTAGTTTACTTACTAGAAAAGCCACCACCACTGCTTTTCTATTATTCATTAGTAAGGAATAATTAAAAAATATTATAAGGACAGCTTTAATATCCTACATTCAGTGATGATGAATCTTGATGATTTATTGACATTCATAGACAAGCAAATACATACAAATCAGATAGGGGAAGTAATCAAGTGCATTGTATTCAAGTTTATAGTAAATTTTAATTAGACAAAAACAAGTCATAAAATAATAATTATAGGAATTAGGCCAATATTTATTTTTTTAGGTACTATTTGGGTCCTCTCTGGCATACTTAGGCTTATGGACTCCTGGTAAATTTCTAAGAAATTGACTAAATTTCTAGGAAATTGATTAAATTTCTAGGAATTTAAATTAATTTCTAGGAATGTAATTAAATTTCTAAGAAATTAATTGTTAACTATAACACTGGTGTGCCTGCAGTCGTTGAGGGATTAATGTTTTACTTGCTTCCAATGGACTAATACTGCTGTCCAATAGGAAATTAAAAAGAAATCTTAAGTAAGCAAATAATGTTAGTTTGATATAATAAATTGTATTTCATGTTATTTTTGCACTGACAATATTTTGACCACATGGTAGCTCACTGTATGAAATTTTACATTACATTAGTTGCATTATGATTAAAACAAATATTGCATAATTGATATTGATTTTTTGTAATATAGAAGAGTACTATATTCAATATTCATGCCTCATTTAATTGAATGTTAAAAAAAATTGTAAGTAGATTTTTATTTTATTATTATTAAATTTTTTATTACATCACAAATTTCCATAAATATAAATAAATGTAAATAATAAAGGTAAAATTGTTCAAAAACTATAATTTGAACTTGTCTTCACATAAAATAATGTAGTTACAATCAATAATAAATTGTCTTTGTAACATTTAAATAAATCATTTAAACACATTGGTATTTCATTGCATCACACTACACCAACACATACACTGAATTCCATTATTCCACATGTTGTGTCCATTGCTTAAAAAAGTCTATTTATACAAGCCAAGGGGTTTTGGTTATGCCTCAATCTGTTTTTAACCTTTTTGCAGGAGTTGTTGTACCACTGCTTTGTGAGTTGGAGTCTTCAGAAAAGTTCATGTGAGTGGAGGTAAATTCTGTAGGGCCTTGGGAGTCACTTACTGTGGAGAAACCTGAAAAATATATAATTTAAGCTAAATAAAAGCAATGTATAATATCTACAATAAACCTCTCTAATGTGTGCAATAATAACATAATAGTTTTAGTACATTATGTTAAGACAAAGAATGAATAAACAAGTTTTTAAATAATGGAGTGTTATAATGATTGCGTTCTTCCGTGTGCGTATTTTAAAACTTTAATAACGCAGTATAGTAAAGAAAATTGAATTAAATTATACTTACAGGTGTTTGAGTCTTCTGCCATACCAAAGTTAGAATTTGAGGAGTCGTGCATTTTCTTCGGTGTTAATGTGTTTTCTTTATTTTCTCGCTTTGCCGCATGTTTCTTTTTCTGTTCGTTTGTAGATATTGGAACCCATTTATATATTTTCATAGTTGTCTCTCCAATTGTTACCCATTTTTTCTCCCTACAGAATATTTTTAAATATCATTATGTATCAATTATATTAACGAAAGTGAAATTCTATAATATAAAAAAATCAGCTTACCAATGGCGAACTTTTTCAACAGCTTGCATGACTCTTTTGATGTCATCTTTGACACGGTTCCTAGTTTCAGCACGCACTGAACGAGACATGTTCTAAAAATATATCAGATATTATTTTTCTCAACAAATAATATAAGTTATAGTAATAAACTACACAACTTTCTTGAAAACTACAACAGACGTTCTTTTGCTATAGCGTTATCCGCCATTTATTAAACTGACTGACAAGTGACATTTAATAATTATGTTAATTGACAAATTATATTTTCAATTGTAACGTTCCATTTCCAGAGAATATGAACACAAGTCACAAAGAATATAGCATTTTAATAAAAACTTACAATATGTTAAAAAGTTCCAATCATTAGAAATTTTTTAACTTCTTTGCCTAAATTCAATAGAAATATTTTCGTTAAATAATAATAAAATGATTTTTGCCTAAAAATTATAAATTTGTTTATTAAATACCTTAATAAATAAAGAAAATAATTTTTGAATTGAAAAAAAAAAAACTGAGTTTGAATTCATTGTTGTAATTATTTGTAGTCTTTTATAAATAACACAAATTTTACACTTTTATATATATTACGATATTAAATGAAAAACGAAACGTGTAAGGGATATATGGAAACCAATGCCAATGCCAATTGCCAAAGTCCAAACGCAATTGGACAAAATTCAAGAAATTGTCTGTAAGCCAATCAAAAAATTGTTCTTTATTAAAAGAAATCTTTTTGTTAGAACAAAAGTAAAAGAGAACGAAATCCCGAAAAAAATCAAATGAAAAATTTTACAGGTACATTCTGCCGAAAAATAATTTTTAAATATATTTTAATGCCAATTCTTTAAAATGTTATTCTGAGACAGGTAAGACTCACTTTAATAGTAAACAATTTTATATTAGGTTTTAATTATACAGTTCATATTACTGAAATTCAGCGGTGATAAATTGGCTAAGTATTCAGCGGCTGTCAGTTGTTTTACGTCTCAGTATTTTTTTATTTAATAAGATTTATAAATAGTTTAAACTTCTCTTAAATTTCTACGCGGCTCGGACTACAGGGATGTATTTGTGGTGGCTATGATGCAACGGGATGATAAGGTGCATTAAATTTTCTGATTATCTAGTGGTGTTGTGTGTTTTGCTTCTTCTGCACTTAGCGTTCGATAAATTCACTCGTCCGCTGTCACTGTTACGTTGTTATTTCTGTTAGCTTATTTTTCACATTCCTAGTCCAACTATTTAACCTACTATCAAAAATATAATTAAAGGCTCATCAGATCAGCTGTTTTTATATGTAATATATCACAGTAAAAAGGGCTCTCAAGATATTGTAGACCCCTGGCATTGAAGTAATTCTTAGATTTTAATAGTTTTCTGAACTATAAAACATACCATTTTTCTCTTTGTAGGTTATAATAGTTATACTAAGTGAAATGCACTTCCATTAAAACATAAAATATATTTTTACTGATTATAGTGCTGAAGATAGGATTTGTGCCCTTTTCCTATTTTTAATGTTTATTTCACACCACTAGTTCAGCTATGAAGTTTTCAGCTTGTTATGTTTTGTTGCAGTTGTACCCTGCATGTTGTCTTTAAGCAGTAGAAGTGGTATTGTAATTATATAATTGGCATTGTCCAGTGTAAGGTACAGCTAACGAAAAAAGTGCATCTTTCATTCCCCTATGGCTGCATATGTTAATCGAACAATATCCATGATGGCTGGTGACGGGCCCCACAATGTTGCAATGAACAATGGGACTGTGCGTGTCAATATGTCGAATGTGGACTCACCTCTACAGATATTTGTGAGAGCAAAAAAGAAGATTAATGACATATTTGTTGAAATTGATGATTATGTTAAGGATGCAGTTGTATTTATGCATGGTAAGTGAAACTCAATTTTTTTTTATTTTTTTTTAAATCAAAACATAGAAACTAGCATTGTCTCATTTGGTGTTTAAATTAAAAAATGTGTTAAGTACCTATAAGAAGTGTACAATTACTACTGGCATGCTTCTTTTGTGTTGTTATAATGTGTTACATTGTAATCAATATATATTGAAATATTTTCAAAATATTCTAGTTTTATATAGTACATAGTAACATACACATTGATTTAAAATGGGTCAACTTTCCTATATAAAATTAAAGCTCCTATTATTAGTACTTAGCAATGTGATATCATAATTCAGCTGTTAGTAACCTTCAACTCTTCACGTAATATATTAATGATTAAATAGTCAATGCCGTGTTGGATGTACCATCTAACTGTTTTATTGGGCTTGTTGTGACTTATTTAGAAGGACAAATAGCCTACACAGTAACAGTTTATTTTTTTTATTTTAGTATAATGTAGGGATATGACATTAAAGTTATCATTGAACTAGCGACTCACCCTCGCTTCACTTGGGTTCGTCCCTAGCTTGATTCCCCATACAAACTTTCATCCCCATTTTCACCCCCTTAAGGGATGATTTCCGAGATAAAAAGTATCATATGTCCTTCCCAGGGTCTCAAACTATCTTCTTACTAAATTTCATCTAAATCGGTTCAGTAAATCCAGAGATTATCCCCTACAACATCACAAACTCACAATCTCACAAATTTTACCTGTTTATAATATTATTATTATTATTATTATATACATCAATTATATTTTTATCACATAATATATTTTATTCCACAATAATAAAGTGAAAATAATGAAAGGATTTTTGGTCATTGCTATGGATAAATATTAATGTTTGTGTTATTTATTGACAAATTAATTATTTGAGCAAATTTTTTAATTTTAATGAAATATAAAAAATTTGAATGCATTGTACATATTATATTTTCTGCCAATATAGACTTTACACATCTGTGTATATTGCATTATGCAATATCTTTATAAAGCCATTAGTAATTATGTATACATAATAAAACTTTCTATAGTAAAAATTGTAAGAATGTTTAACAGAAAATAAGTAATGTTTAATGTGAAAATATTATTAGTGTCTCTCACTCACTAGTTTTTAATTTTTTTTAGTGTTTCTTTGTAATTCAAAGTTATTGTCAAAAGCTAATTATAACAAAATTATTCCATGTAAACAGTTGTTACTTTGTAGCAAATTAATATAGTATGATGTTCATTTAATACTTCAGTTCATGTGAATATAATGTATGGAAGAGATAGAATACTCTGTTTTATTATAGTTTCTTTGTGTTAGTATGTATGTACATTGTATATGTTTATTTAGAGTATAGTAATATAATGGTATGTATGTGTAGGTGCATGTGAGTGTGCGTATGTACGTGTGCGTGTGCGTGGGTGTAGACGTGTGAGTTAGTGTGTGAAATTTTTAAAGGTTTTAAAAATTTAAGACCATGTTGTGAACGTGATTTTATGTGTGTAGTATAAGTGGCAGCATGTTTTGATAGAACTTTTTTGTTTTCATTTTAACCCACTAAAATCAAATTAACAATTTGAGATCTTGAGTCTCTTTCTAAGCACTATTTCAGAAAGTGTCGGTGGTCTGGACTAAATAGAAATACATGTGAGAAATGTCACAGGCAATAGATAGTATTAAATACATGCATTATTATTAATAACATTAAAATTCATAAAGATCTTTGAAATATTTTTCAGCGGTATCGGGTGAAAATGGTATTGCATCAGTACAAGATGTGGCCAATGTGGAGGCGTATGTTAACAAGGTGCAGGCCATACGGGAGGTGCTCAAGCGCGATCACATGAAAGTGGCGTTTTTCGGCAGGCAAGTTAATTGTACTTATATTTGATAGCAGGTATCAGTTTTTGTGATATTGTACCTATTCATATTAATATAATATTATGTATTTAGATTTGTTTATTGATTTGAGGTAAATATGGACCCAAAATAAGGATGAAGTGCTTCTAGTAATATTATACAAATTTCTGAGGGCACATAGAGACATAAGTCAAATATACTATACTAATGACTCACTAGTTCGTCCCTAGGTACGTTTTAACAGTTAGTATATATATTACCTACATATTACTGTATTACGCTAAAGGATAATATCGTGTTCCTCACGATGTTTTCCTGCACCTAAGAGAACCTAGCGAGTTTTCTAAAGACGTGTGAAGTGCGCCCGCCCACCCGTACTTAGCTAGCGTGGTGGACTATAGCTTGATCCTCCTCGTTTTGAAGGGAGGCCTAGCAGTGGGATTGTGAAGTTTAAATGAACCGTATACTAATACTACTATACTATATTTAAAACTTTAGAACAAGTAACGGCAAGAGCACGGTGATCAACGCGATGTTGCACGAGAAGATACTGCCCAGCGGCATTGGGCACACCACCAACTGCTTCCTGCAGGTGGAGGGCTCGGACACTGACGAGGCCTTCATGAGGACTGAAGGCTCGGAGGAGAAGCTTAATGTACAGGTGCGTAGCAAGAGGTGGTATTGAAGTCAAAACTACAGCTTTAATGGGTCAATTAGTAGACTATGTACTTAAAATTAAAACTGCATGTATGTATATCGTAATTTAATTTATATAGTTATTTTGTTAGAACTAGAGTTGTTTATTATTGCTTAGTGATACGTCAAATAAATCTGTTATTGTTCAGTGTTCAATTTTGGACAAAAAACTTTGATATAAGTATCGCAATGGTTTATGAGCGCTGACCTTGTATGCGCAGAAGTCAATTTTTGGATCTATTTGGCGGGACGCATGACGTGCGACGGTGGAGGCGTGCGCTATTCCCGCCGCTCCCCCGCACCGCACGCACGTTCCGCTTACCTTTTAGTACAGTCGCGCGCGCAACTACCTTAGCAAAAGTTTTCATTACGTAATAATATATATATATTAATAAGATGGCGAAAACCAAGGTTTTAACTCGGCAGGCAAAAAAATGGTGTATGACGTTGATAAATTCATTAAAACTGAGTCACATGAATTTATATGTAGTAATGTAATAATACCTATTCGAAAATTATTAGGAAAAAATGAACCAAATTTAAATCACACGTTCGCTATTTTGTATCTACCTAGGGAAAATTATGTGACAAGAGTACACCTGCGCAAAAATCCCCACTCCTTTCACTGAGCGCTCATAAACCATTGTGCGACCTATAACAAATATTGCTATTATTACTTTTTATGTAATATAAAAAATGATCTAAGATTTATTTACTTTTTGAAAATGAAATGGGTTTGATAACAACTGTTTTTACATGAAGACCATTAGATAGTTATAAAAAATCATAAATGAATGAATGTATGAATCTACTCTTTCACTCGTTCACTTTTATAATAAATTAATACTTTGAAATACAAACTGAACTAACTTACAATGAGGTCTACCGCGCTTAAATTTGCCGCGAGAGAGCGCTAGTGTAGATATCTTACGATCTCTGGAACTGTCAAATGAGATTGAATGTTTACTGCTTACAAACTTTTTAACGCGAATCTTTACTAATTCATGATTATTGTATACATTCTGCCATTCTTGGTTAATTATGGCAGACACGATATGGCACAATAAATTTTATTGGTTTAAAAGAAGAGTTAAGAAAAAGTCAATATTTTATGTATTTGGTTCTTATTAGTTACTTAAAATCCTGATTGAACTGTTTCCGTGCTAACAATTATGATTGACCATGGCGCACTAAAAATACTTCTTCAACGACAGCGATAGATAGTTAGTGCCAGCTTTCATTATGTAATAAATAATAATTAAACTTACGATCACGTAATAACACAAACTGATGTCTATAACAATAAGCTGTTGATGTAATTATATAATATATATAAATAAATAAATAAATTATAACAGTCAGTAAGCCAGCTGGGGCACGCGCTGTGCGACACGCGGCTGAAGGAGTGCTCGCTGGTGCACGTGTACTGGCCGCGCGAGCTGTGCGCGCTGCTGCGCGACGACGTGGTGCTGGTGGACAGCCCCGGCGTGGACGTCACGCCCAACCTGGACGAGTGGATCGACCAGTACTGCCTCGACGCGGACGTGTTCGTGCTCGTCGCCAACGCTGAGTCCACGCTCATGGTCACTGTGAGTGTTGGTTAGGGATTTGAATAGGTTCCGTGTGGGTTGCCTTTTACCGACCGGCAATTTGCTGGGTAGGGATGGATAAAGATATTTGATTTTGGAAATAATGGACTTTAATATTGCAAATAATCGATTAATAATCGATTTTCTTTCATAATCATATATCAATCATAATCGATTTTTCATCTGCCACCTGTGACAAAAAGTGTTTACAAAGTGCTTACCTAAGCTCTTATTCCTAAACTCATTGCCTACGGATTTTTAGTTTTTTTTTTATTTGAATAGTTTAGTTTTGATAATTTATGTTGAATATTCTAAAATTTTAATTTGTGTTTGACTATTTAAAAGCTTCTTATTTCTAATTAATAAAACTGTGATTAATATAATATTTGCGGCGTTAATTTTGCAATTAATTGAAAAATTAGGAAAATATTAATACAACAAAATCGATTATTTTTTAAAGAAAAATCGATTATTTATTCATTCATTTTTTATGCTAAAAAAACAATCGATTTTGTATGTCACATTCCTACTGCTGAGCGTGGAGCGAAGAAACGCGCTTGGGTGACGGTTCATCTCGGTGGGCGGTGGTAGGGATGTCATTAAGTGCGCTAGGGATTTGGCTTAAGTTCGATGTGTGTTCACTTTGGCGAGATGGGGGACTCTTTACCATCCGGCAACCCGAACAGCAACAACAGCTAGATGTTAAACGAAGAAACGCACTTGGGAGAGCTACTTGGTGGGCGATGTAAGTGATGTCACTAGGTGCGGATGTTGGTGTCACGCTCAACTTTCTCAGTGGATCGATCGGCACTGCCAGGAATTTTGATTGCCAAAATATTAAATTAAATTTCATTGTCATTTATTCGTCTCAAAACCGCCGGCAAAAACGAATTATTTTATTAAATTTACTATATTGTTATTGCAGGAAAAGAATTTCTTCCACAAAGTATCGACAAAGATATCACAACCGAATATATTCATACTGAACAATCGATGGGATGCCTCGGCCTCGGAGACTGAATACTTGGAACAGGTTAGTCTAATAAAATCATTATCATATCAGAATATAAGGCTATTACAAAGAAAAGGTAAACTCAAAAGTACAACTCTACTAAGGGACACAACTTTAAATAGTATATATTATTTTTCTTTTGCGTTATTTTGGTTTGGTGAGTGGTAGAAGAGAACACCCACATCTTCCTTCAGTCTTTCTCTCCTTTTTCGTTCTCTCTCTCTCTGTCTTTCTTCCCTATTTATAATTTTGTAATATATGAGTATGTGGTGTGCCCCCGCAGGTGCGCAGCCAGCACGCCACGCGCTGCGTGGACTTCCTGTCGCGGGAGCTGCGCGTGTGCTCGCCCAAGGAGGCGGAGGAGCGCATCTTCTTCATCTCCGCCAAGGAGGCGCTGCTCACGCGCATGCGCGAGCGGGAGAAGCCCGTCTCCTGTGAGTGTCCTTGTTATATCTATACATATAATAAAATTCTAACTGAGTCGGATCTGTACATTAAATATTTTTTAGAAAATCTTATTGAAATAGTCAATATTATCGGTACAGATGCTGAATATATTGGTTTTTAGAATTTTTGTCTGTCTGTCTGTTACTGCATCACGAGAAAATCTGTGGACAAATTTTGATGAAATTTGGTATGATGATAGCTAGTTATCCGGGTCAACATACAGATTATTTTTTACTGCGGGAAAATATCTCATCTAAACGTTAAAACGTAACTAGGGACGAGCCCGAGCGGAGTGAGGGTGAGTCGCTAGTTGCTATATAAGAAACTATAAATGCTAGGCTGCCTCAATGGCTACGATCTACAGCTGCAGACATGGAAGATATGGATTTGAGTATTGGATCTAGAGTCTATTAATGAATCCCATATATTAGTACAAGGAAATTGACCATTTGGCTGTATTTCATCTCCATGCTGAGGCTGTCTCATTGCGTGTGATGTTTACGTGGTCTACAATAGGGAATGATAGAGAATGAAAGGAATAGAGTGAGTGAGTGAGTGAGTGTGTGTGAACCACCGTACGTCTGTACCGTAATATCTCCTACCTACGTAGGTACAAATAATTTCAAAGTTCATTCATAATGTTTAATATTATCAAGTAGCTTCAAAGAAGAACTTTCATATCGACGTTAAATGACGTCAAATTTTATAGAATAATGTTATGGTGTCGTGTAGCGGTTTTATTAATGTTATTTGTCATCATTACTGTTATTAATTTTAATTTGTAATGTTGAATGATTATTATTGGGAATTGCTAATTTTGTTATTTATCTAAATAAGACAGTTCTCTCAGATAATGCAAGTTTTAAGTTTTTCGCTGATCTTTCTCAGCTGAACTACTTTCCGAGCCGGTGGTGTAATGATCACGGATTTGGATATTGACATTTAATTTAAAATATAAAAAATAATTAAAAATTAATGGTTTAGAAATGCTTCCAAAATTCTATAAATTGAATAATAAACATATAATGTCTCACGTCTGTGCCCAATTTGACACTCAAATTGTATGGGCGCTGCACTAATACATGTGCATATTTGGCTAATTTGAGTGAATTTGACCACCGAGACGGAAATTGTTTAGGAGTCAGTATTACTGTTTGTTATGACTTATGTAATGTGTGTTCCCAGCGCCAATACTAGCGGAAGGGCACCAGGTGCGGTACTTCGAGTTCGTAGACTTCGAGCGCAAGTTCGAGGAGTGCATCAGCCAGTCGGCCGTGCGCACCAAGTTCGCGCAGCACTCGCGCCGCGGCAAGAACATCGCCGGCGACGTCATGGCGCATCTGGAGAGGGTCAGTGCACTTGATTGTTTCATCTACATATTATTTTATTTATCTCTTTCACTGGTTATAGTTATTAGAACTGAAATTGAATTTGGGTTTTGTTTTGGTTTATTATTTTTATTTTTTAGAATAGCTTAAAATTGTTATTTCACTTATACTTATACACAAAAATCGTATCTGAACTGAACCTCCTCTTTTTTACTAAGTCAGTAAGAATTTTTTTCTTATTTATTATTTTATAGATATACAATAGTTCAAGTGAAATGAAATCTGCCAAAGTGGAGAAACAGAGGATACTCCAGGAGCAGCTGTCGGCCGTGGAAGAGCAGCTCACCACCATCACTCGCCAGATGAAGGACAAGATAGGCCGCATGGTGGAGAGTGTGGAACACAAGGTGATATTTATACTCATACTATCAAGAGGCAGAGTTTATTTGTTTGTTTAAACGAAATATACATTTGAAAAATCCTTTTTGCATTAAACAGCGCGTTTATTGTGGTTGGTTATAAGCAATATATCATCATGCTACTACACAAGGGAGCAGTAAACATTAATGTCAACAAATCTGGCAGACGTCCATACATTATTGTAAAACTGATTTATATCGGAAGTTTAAATACGGGCGAAGCCGCGGGTACTGCTGCTATACAATATACATTACCATATCGTTAGTTTGTTTTAACTGAATTTTAAAAATAAATTGTCTGTTAGGCTAATTAAACATTAGAGTGGTGGGTGATTAAATTGAGTTTAACTTTTATGTTATGACTGATGATGATGATGATGTTCTCCTAGCCGATTCCGGCTACGGCGGCCAATCTCATTGAGAGTAGCCAACTTCGCAGGAGATATTATAGTGCTCAAGTGTACGCGCAGACACAAGTGCACTCTCTATTCCTGTCACTCTCATACTCCGGTGGGACGACTGCACGACACGACCGGTGAGAGTTAAGGCGCAGGACCGACGGCTTTACGTGCTCTCCGAGGCACGGGGGTGAAGCACCACCAACTTCCCAACTCCGGGCTGTTACTGAGACTTACTATACAGAAAGACTCAATAACTAAACTTGGCCCGACCCGGGACTCGAACCCAGGACCTCCGAGTGTGCAGCCGTACATGCTAGCCACTACACCACCGAGGCAGTTATGTGACTATAAAACTGATGACTAATAAATGATATAGAGCTCACCTAAAAATAGCAATTCTTATTTATTAACGTTTAGTTACTTATTACAATAATGGATATTTCTATTTAACACCTCCAGGTAAATTTCTAAGAAATTAATTAAATTTCTAAGAAATTATTGTTAACTGTAACGCCGGCGTGTCTGCGGTCTTTGAGGGATTAATTATTTAAAACATTATTTTTTCGCTTCATGTTTAAATTTATGACGTCTATATTACGAGTATTACTTAGTATGTGGTTATGACATTATTTTTCAAAATTTGACTTACTTGTAAAACCTAATTTGTAATGCTACATGCATTGCAATGCAATGCACTGATGGGCATGTATCACTTCGATGGCTATTTATAAAACTCGTCTAATTCGTTTTGCAGTATCCTATAGCTTAAAGATTGTTAAAAACGTGTTTTTCTACCATATCAAAACTATAAAAACTAATGGATCGGTACAATAGTATATATAAGAATGGTAAAGAGGAAGGGTTGTCACGGTTGACGTTCAATATTCAAAATATATATTTTTCTATTCATTTATATCATGTGCCAACACTACCCCTTAAACGAATATAAAAATATCATATTCGCAACTTACACCTACCACTTATATCTTTAAGTTTTAAATAATTTAGATATAAGTTTCTTATGCTTCACAATACATAAGGGCTTTGTAAAAACATCAGCTAACATATCTTCAGTACATAGATAATCTAACTTAACTATCTTCTTATCAACCAATTCTCTAATAAAATGGTATCTGATATCGATATGCTTTGTTCTAGAATGTGATATAACATTAGAACATAATTTCTGAGCAGACTGGTTGTCATTATATAAAGTTATTTTACAGAGCTTACCAGTACACTCATTAATAAACGCTCGTAAAAACAAAGCTTCTTTACAAGAATCAGAAACCGCCATGTACTCAGCCTCAGTGCTCGAGAGCGCGACAGTGCGCTGCTTACGGCTTTCCCAGGATACTATTGATTTACCAATACAGAATACATACCCTGTGTAGGATCTCCGATCCAATTGGTCTCCGCCCCAATCAGCATCGGCAAAACCTAAAATTTCAAGATTATGTTTTTCAAAGATTAGCGAGTATTCTGAGGTGCCTTTCAAATACCTTAAAACCCTTTTCGCAGCTTTGACATGACTCTCACCATGGCAATCATTGAATTGGCTCAAGTAGCTGACACTGTGAGCGATATCGGGTCTGGTACATACCGCTAAATACATTAAGCAACCAATTAAACTCCTATAATCAAAGTTGCAGTTACTAACATTTCCCTCTCTTTGCAACTTTAATCCTACTTCCATAGGAGTTTTTACTTCCTTACAATCCGCCATTTTAAACTTTGTCAATATCTTCTTTATATAGCTGGATTGATTGAGAGTATAGCTACCGTTAGGTAATGTAGTAATTTTCATACCTAAGTATTGATGTGCCAGTCCTAAGTCCTTCATCTCAAATTGTTTCATCAACTTTTCTTTAATGAGCTTTCCTTTCTGAGATGTCTTAGATGAAAATAACAATATATCATCAACATAAATAGCTATATACAAAATTTCTTTACTATCGTTATATATATACACGCATGGTTCTGAAGAAAACCTCTTAAAGTGTAATTTCTTAATTAAAACATCATTAATTCTCTCATACCAAGCCTTAGCTGATTGTTTTAATCCATATATTGCCTTGTTAAGCTTATAAACCTTATTCTTATTATTATCAACAACAAAACCTTCCGGTTGTTCCATGTACACATTTTCCTTTAAAATCCCATTTAAAAATGCTGTTTTAACGTCCAAGTGCTCAATCAACATATCGTACTGAGCAGCTAGTGCTAGCAAAATTCTGATAGTTGAGTATCGGACGACAGGAGAAAATGTTTCGTGATAATCTATCCCATATTTTTGAGTAAAGCCTTTTGCCACCAAGCGAGCTTTGTACTTTAAGATCTCTCCATCAACCCCTCTCTTCTTGCAAAAAATCCATTTGCATTTTACAGGCTTATGGCCTGGAGGTAGATCTACTAAAGTCCAACATTTGTTTGTGATGAAAGAATCATACTCATCTTTTATCGCTTGTTTCCAATGCTGTGAATCACTGCATCTCAGTGCTTCCTCCACGTTAACAGGTAAGTCCTCCTCATGCATCTCTGTTAATCCAGCGAACTCATATGATTGAGCTTCTTCAAATGACAGCTCCCTAGAGTCTTCAGAGTCAATGCTTGATAAACCTGGAACATAAGTGGGGTCGGCCGAATCATCTGAGGCAACTAAATCTTCTGTTTCATCTAGATCAAACATAGTTTGCCTGCGAGGATTTATTTGGCCAACATTATGACATATAGACTCATCATTTACTGATGCATTTGACTGTGGAGGTAACTGAATAGTTTTTGTAGGTAATTGTACTGAATTCGGACTTAGAGTACTATCTACAAAAATCTGTGAACTAGTTGAGTCTAAACCTAATGAAGTATCTTTATTTTTATTAACTTTACAACTATCACTATATGTTACATTTTTATTTACAAATTGGTTCTCCATGAACGTCACATGCCTCGCTTTAATGCACTTCTTTGGACAAAAAAGGATCTATGAGCCTATAGCCTTTGCTATCATCACAATATCCTACAAAAATATATCTTTTGCTCCTAGGGTCCAATTTTCTAGCATTCTCAACGATGGCATATGCTACACAACCAAAAACTCGTAAATGTTCAATGTTCACCTTTTTATTCGTCCATTTTTCTTCCGGTGTTACTCCCTTTATTGCCTTAGTAGGGGAACGGTTCTTCAAGTATACAGCCGTGTTAGCAGCTTCAGCCCAGTACCGTTTCTCTAAACCAGCGTCCTGGAGCATGCAGCGGGTCTTATCCATTATCGTCCTATTTGCCCTCTCTGCAACACCATTTTGTTGACTACAGTGTGGAATTGTAGTTTGATGCTTAATTCCATTTTCTTTTAAATAGGCCTGAAAATTTACAGAATTAAATTCTCCGCCATTGTCACTTCTAAAAACCTTTATTTTCCTACTTACTTCATTCTCTACCATAGTTTTAAATAATTTAAATTTTTCAAATACTTGACTTTTTCTTTGAAGAAAGTAAATAAATGTTTTTCTTGTGAAGTCATCGATAAATGTTACAAAGTAACGTGCTCCACTCCAAGAAGGTGACTGCATAGGACCACACACATCTGCGTGTACCAGTCCTAGAATTTCGGAAGCTCTACTTTTACTTTTCTTTGGAAAAGGTAGCCTTGTCTGTTTACCTTCGAGACAAGCAGTACAAGGAATGAAAGTAGTATTTTTATAATTCATACCTGATACAATACCATTTTTCATTAAATTCATGCTCCGTGCATTCAGACAGAGTTCATAGACACCATTTCTACAAGTACCTGTAGCTATAACCTCCTTATCGTGCATAATTTTACAACCTAAATGACTAAAAATAACATAATAACCTTTCCTACCTAACTCACTTACTGATAATAAATTTACACTAAGTTCAGGTATAAAATATACATTATTTATAGTTTTAGTACCATTTACTAATTGTACCTTTACTCTACCCCGACCTTCTGTTGTTAATTTGTCCCCATTAGCTACATTTACCTCAAGTGACTTTACATCCTGATAATCATACATTAGATCTTTATTATTACACATATGATGAGTAGCCCCAGAGTCGATACACCACATATCACTGTGAAGATTCACACGTAATGCAGACAGTAACGACGCCTCAGGATTCTGCTTCTCAGTAGATTCTTGTACAGAATTATTTTTGTACACTTTCCTTTTACTGGTACAGTCCTTCTTCATATGTCCAGGTTTTTTACACTTGAAGCACACGACCTTTAAGCTCTTTTCTTTTCTAGTAGCTAATGCGTTGACCCCATCTTGACTCTTGTCATCTCGCCTCTGTTGCTCCTGCAGTAACTTTGACTTGACCACCTCACTTGTGAGTTTCATATTAGAATTTTCTAAAGCCATTATCATGGGATCAAAGTCCTCCGTCAAACCACTGAGCATAATTACAGCTAGAAATTCATCGTCAAGTGCGGATCCAATATCTGATAGGTGTTGCCCAAGCTCCGTAATTTTTAATAAGTAGCTTTGCATACCTTCCGTCTCGCACAGTTTCGTACCAAATAGCGACCTCAGTAATCCCAGTCGTCTGCATAGTCCCTTATCCTCGTAAGCACGCTCGAGATTATGCCAGGCTTCATAAGGACTCTTCGCATTGCGTACATGAGCCAACGCTGATGGACCGACGGACAAACAAATTTTTGCTAACGCCTTTTGTTTTTTCTTCTCGTCTTTTTCATCTTCGTTCATTACGCAATCGAAAAGATCTTCATGCATTAAAATCATTTTCAGCGTAAACTTCCAATGATTATAATCTTCTAAGCCCTTTAGTTTTTCGACGGGAATATTATATGACAATGCCGACGCCATGTTTTATATTTTTGCAGATACTTTATTATATATTAATTATTTTATATATAAAATTTAAATGCAAATACTATAAATATACTGAAAATATGCGAATATACAAAATTATTTTAACTTTAATCAACGGTCTGGGCCCATAACCTGATGGATCGGTACAATAGTATATATAAGAATGGTAAAGAGGAAGGGTTGTCACGGTTGACGTTCAATATTCAAAATATATATTTTTCTATTCATTTATATCATGTGCCAACAAAAACAACTTACTCCACAGGTATCACTAACCCTCAGCCAAGAGATCCGTCGTCTGTCCGCCCTCGTGGACGAGTACGAGGCGCCGGCGCCGTTCCGCGCCGAGCGCGCCGCCCTCGACCAGTACAAGCGCGCGCTGCACCGCCACGTCGAGGCCGGCCTCGGCTCCAGGCTCAAGAAGAGGCTGTCCTCTGATATAGGTCATGAGATGGATGAAGCGCAGAAGGAGATGGCTGGTATGTGCCATGTCTTAGTTTGGAAGTGTTTGGAAAAGAATGGGTGCGTGTAGCCTTTGAAGTAAAACGTTTTTTGGAAAATATCGCAATTAAATTGAATAAGGCATATTAGGCATATTAAACTCATATATTTGTAGGATATTATATACGGAAAGAATATAATGTTATATAATTGTCAGACAATAACAACGGTTACCATGGCAACATAGCAATATATTTTATCTCATTCTCCCATATCATATGTTTCTATAAAAAACATTGGGATCTAAAAGAATAAGTTGTCAGCTCGGTAGGATAACTAGCATCTAAAAATCTTTAGTATTTGTATTATATTATATGGAAATATGCCAAATGAAGAGGTCAAGTTATATTTATTTAGTTAATTGAAGCTGTTTTTTTTTATTTACATTAATATCTGTACAAAAAAATCTTAAAATTATTTTGGCTGTTTACGTGTGTTGGTCATTTTAACACTTTCAATAACTAAATTAAATTGAAAAATTAATAGACCCACGAACATCTTGGGCCGATTTTCATACTACTAATAATAATAGCAACATATTTAAGTACACTTCTGACTAATTCACCTTTCAAACAAAATAAAAAAAAAATCAAAATCAGTTCATCCGTTCGGGAGCTACGATGCCACACACAGACACGTCAAATTTTTTACCCCGTTGCTTTTGCGTTAAAAAAGAAAAGACACACAGATATGTGATAATGTACATGTTTGTGGTATATAAACAACAAATCCTATGTAAATCCACAGAGCGTATGTACAACATCCTGCCGGCGCACAAGCGCGCGGCGGCCGCGTCCTGCATCGTGCCGCACCAGCAGCCCTTCGAGGTGCTCTACCGCCTCAACTGCGACAACCTCTGCGCGGACTTCCACGAGGACCTGTCCTTCCGCTTCAGCTATGGCATCACCGCGCTCATACAGCGCTTCCAGGGACGCAATACTAATAAGATTGCGCTGAAAAATCCGCCTACTGTTACGCAAGTGAGTCGGGTAGCGCTTTAAGCGCTTTGTTACTAAGTGTTGTGTCTACTGTTGCGCAGAAAACATATACGTACTCCTTTAAGAGCTTTTCTACTTGATGATATTAGTAAGGCATAATATGCGACATTTTCGCGCTGACTTCCATGAGGACCTCTCATTTAGACTCGGCTATTCTCGCGGGTTCCAGATTCCGCCGTCGCTGGGTCCCGCCGCGCCGCCGATGGAGCTGACGCGCAGCAACGGCGTGGGGCCGCTCAGCGCCGAGGAGTGGGGCATGGTGTCCAAGTTCGCGCTCGGCGCGCTCACCTCGCAGGGCACCATGGGCGGCCTGCTGCTGTCCGGCCTGGTGAGTTGATGGGATTGTTTCAAGGATTTTGTCCTTGAAGGATTTTATGTTTGATATTTTAAATCCATTGTAGGTTTTTTTTATATATATTTGAGGTCATACAAAAATTCTGTCGTTCGCGTCTCCCTTCGCACACTTCGTACGATTGCAGATATTATTTTATTGTAATATTTTAATGTGTATGGTAAAAAGTTTGTCAATTAAACGAGTAATTCTTGTATATATATACAATCTGAATCTCGGAAACTGCTTCAACTATTTTCATGAAATTTAGTATACAAGGAGTTTCGGGGGCAATAAATCGATCTAGATTAGTCTTATGTCTGGGAAAACGCGTGTTTTCGAATTTTCATGCGGTTTTCTTTCGCATTATTCCACGCAAAATATGGTCGATAATTTCGCACACTCGGACATAAGCATCAACCGGCCAAGGCGCAAGATTCATAACGGTGTCCGGTCGGAAATAAAGGTATATATATTTTTTTGTATATATTCAAGTTTTTAGTTTTTTTTAAAAAGAAAATGTTACTTTTGACCAAAAACTCCAAGTGAAGCTCGGTGGCCCAGGCACTTTTATATTATATGCGTTACTGCGCAACTACAAAGTCAGCGCAATACAATTTCCACATTTGCGTGTAGTGTTCACCACACTACCGGTAGCGCAGTGTAGTGTGGTGAGCACGGTGTGGTATAACCGTGCGGGCGGTGCGGTGCGCAGCTGCTGAAGACGGTGGGGTGGCGCGTGGTGGTGGCGACGGGGCTGGTGTACGGCGCGCTGTACGCGTACGAGCGCTGCACGTGGACGGCGCGCGCGCAGGAGCGCGTGTTCAAGCGGCAGTACGTGGCGCACGCCGGCCGCAAGCTGCGGCTCATCGTCGACCTCACGTCCGCCAACTGCAGCCACCAGGTGCAGCAGTATGTACAACCTCCTTGTTTATGCTGTCACACTTTCGTTCGCTCATTCATTCATCCATATCAATATTATAAATGTAAAAGTAAAAGTCTGTCTGTTACGTTTTGACGTTTAATCCGCTGAATTGATTTAGATGATATTTGGTATGGAGATAATTTGAGGTCCTGGGAAGGACATAGGGTAATTTTTATTCCAGACATGATAATACCTTAAGGGGGTGAAAAGCGACGATAACCACTTACCATCAGGTGGATCGTCGTGTATATAGTGAACAATGAATTCAATAACTCTGCAAACTAGATCCAATCCGTAGTTGAGAAAATGTAGGGTATCTGTACAAAAACACAGTTTTCGCTGAAAGAGCAAAATATTATGTCTACCTATATTTTTTCACAGAGAACTTTCAACAATGTTCGCACGCCTTTGCCGCCTCGTGGACGAGGCCACAACGGAGATGGACTTGGAGTTGACAGAGGTGAAAGAGGCCATCAAGATGCTGGATGAGGCGGCCACATCTGCCAAGAAGCTGCGCAACAAGGCCAACTACCTCAGCCACGAGCTCGAGCTGTTTGATGATGCTTTTCTGAAACATTAGTGAGGTTATGAAGGTACGTTATGTTTTTTTTTTTAATGACAAGATAGTGTGCAACAAGGCCAACTACCTCAGCCACGAGCTCGAGCTGTTTGATGCTTTTCTGAAAAACTAGCTTGGTTATGAAGGTGCGTTTTTTTAATTATGAGAAGAAACTGCTCAATAAGGCCATCTCAGTCTACAGCTTGAGATTTTGAGTTTTGAAGATATGTTTTTTTATTAATTTATTATGACAAGAAACTGTACAACAGAGCCTCTGGTAAATTTTTAAAGATCTTTTAGGCTGTAGAAGGTGGCTAGTTAAAGTTTACACAAAATATCTTATTAAAATGCTCTCCACACGAGAAATGTATTTCAAAGTTTTTTTTTATTACTTGTCAAATAAATAATTGCCAATTGTTATTGGTGATTGGAATTAAAAATACATTGTGTACTAATATATTATCGCCGATTCAAACTTGACTTGTATAAGAAATGGACGAAAAAAACTCATGCTTATTATTGATTGTTTGTATCGACAGAGGAGAAGCGGTAAAGTCCCGGGGCCGAGTCTCGGTGCATTTCATTGGTACAGAGCGGGTGCAGCAGTTGATTAAACATTGTTATCGTACCTGTTACTTGTTTTGTTGTTGTCTCTTTCGTAGCGTTTTTAATCTAATTCCATGGTACAATATGGTGGTACTAAATTATCCGTCATTTTTTTAATCTGTGTGTTATATTCACTAAATTCATAATTAGTATTACACATGGACGTTATGTCTGTGTTAAAATTTTAGTCCAATATGACTTTGGCGTATATTAGTTACTATTTAATTCAAATGTTAATTGTTTCGTCATCGGCAAACATCCAAAACACTGAATTCAATGTTAGAATCAGTCACATATAAGGCCAGTTCCACACCACACTACATTATATGCGTTCGTGAGTGAATGTGTCTAAGGACATTATAGATTAATTATATAATTATTCTTCAAGTATTTGAAAATGAAGGCCAATTAGTTTTTTTTTTAAAATATAACATTTTTTTAAAAATATAACAATATTTTTTTTCTTTTAAAATTTTGAGAATGAATATTTTCTCTGTTTCTCATTATTATTAAGAATACTTAGGAGTTATGACATTTTAAGAGGTATTTTAAAGATTTGGTGATATATTAAATATAGAATTATATCAAATGTTATTTTACTAGCTTTTGCTTGCATCCGCTTGTATAGTTTAATTTTTAAACTACATTTTTAGGTTGAATTCAGGTAATTTCATTGGATTTTGAAGCCTAAATTAATTGATATTAATAAATGGTGGAAAATAAAATACCATGTCTATTCTCCATAGTTTTTTCTTTTCATCTTTCTAGTGTAGCACGAGCATTTAAAGTGTATCAATGCATTTGATTAAAACGCTACGATTGAGATTTTAAGATTATTGTGTGTCCGAGTTATTTATTCACTGTTATTATTGTTATATGCAGTTAATTTATATTTGTGTGTGTCGGCGTTGACTCTTCGTATGTGATTATAGATTATATTATTATCTTGCCAAAATGACATTCATATATAATTAATGACAATTAGTGAACATTGGAAAAAGTCTTCAGTTTAAAGTTTTAGAGATGCCCTTTAAAACATCTTGTTTTTATATATACGTATATAAATTATTATTTATTATGTTATTTGCGGTAAAGCAATGTGCTAAAAATAATATTTATATAACTTACGGACATTTATAAAAAACATAGACAAAAAATTGATGTACAGCAATTAAATAATTGTACAGATAAAATTAAAATTCGATAAGTAATTTAATATATAGTTTAGAAAAGTCCATAAATACATATGAAGAGTCATTTTGTGTGTTTTTTGTTAGTAAATGATTTCCAATGCTAGTTTAATCGCCTGCCAGCACCGTGTAACATGACAATTTGGGATTTCGGTCCATGAAGCTTCAGTTCATCTAACTTAGAGCTCAGACTTAAGATGGCGGTCCTTATTTAACCATTGGGTTCAAAGGGTCAGCGATGTTTGGTCGCTTTAGTCGAGAAGAGATTTGATACCTTGACCTTAGACCTTTAAGGTCAAATTGTACATTACTCATGTATAGAATATATTATATTCATGTAAACTTGTTTTGTTGTTGTTTTCTTTTATCAACTTTTACATGTTTATTATAATGAAATCACGTAACGGCTTTGTAGATTTGGGCCGAGTTGTTGTTTTTTTTAACTGTTAGTGAATGGAATTGTGAGAATATTAGCAAAATCCAATTTAAACATCCTTAGTATAAATTATGTTTCCAAATCGTGACACTAGTATAATAGTATTTTTTAATAATTACTATATTTATTTTGGTTCTGTATGATTTGGTTTGAGGCTTCTATGAAATGAAGCGAATTTTTAATTTTCATACATATTAATATTTATGTTTTAGCAACTTTTATTTATACAGCCTCTTTTGCAAATTCTATAAGGCACAAAAGACTAATGGTTAATTTTTACGGTCTCAATTCGTGAGAAAATAACAATTTTTTATACATACGTAGCTAAGTTACCAGCTTAATGTGATTTTTTTTAAGAATTATGCATCATACAATCTGTATTTTTATATAAAAACTTAATTAGACATGTTAAAAGATAAATTAATAATCTGTTAAAAAGTAAATCAAAATGGCGGCTAAGTATCTGCCAAATTTTACGAAGAAAATGTAATTGAAGTTATAAATCGAAATATTTAAAATTATTACGTTTGATGTATGTATGTGCACAATTTGCTTTTCTTAGATATCGCTTGCGATTATTATAATTATAATGTATAGCAACTGTTGGGTAATAAGAGGAAGAAGTTCACGAGTTCGATTATATCGTTTAAAGCAACGACCGCAACTTCTTCCAAATGTATGAAAAATAAGCCCTTTATGGTTCTTGGAATAAGCGTGATAATAGAGATTATCAACAACGCGGAATATTTTAATTTAAAAGATTAAATTATGTTAAAACGGATCTGTTGAGATCCCTCCATTGGGTACAAAGTACCGTGATTGGGTTACATTATCATAATGTTGCATGAAATAAGTTATTTTCGTGTCGAGTCGAATATGTGGTTATTACGTAGTAAATGAATAAAGCCGACTTAAATGGACATCGGATTTACTTGCTGTTATGAACTAACTCATATACCTATCTATACATATGTATAATAAAATTGTAACTGATCGCTGTCTGTACATGAAGGATATTTGAGAACATTGTTTTATTTCAATCAGTTCATAAAAAAAAGTTATGTCAATTTAAGAATCTTCAGGACCGAACCCGAGCGAAGCGAGGGTGAGTCGCTAGTTTAATAATATAATCGTTTATATTTCTTTCTCTTTGATTCTCCTTAGAGTTTGCTAAGGAGTATTAAATTTATTATAGTATTAAATCTTATCTTTTGTTGATGTTTAGATATTTTAAACCAACTTCCAAAAAGGAAGGTGTTCGTCTGTATGTTTTTTTTATAAAACAGTACATTATATCCAATGTCGACTTAAGCACGGCAATACAAACGTTCAGATAGATTTTGTTGTCCGATGTAATTAGTTTCGTATTAGGCGAATTTTCTTATGTAAATAAAGGATTCCTTTATATAACAAAGTGTTTTATTTATACACCAAATATATTTAACAATCTGAGATCAGTCTTTTCTTATTAATTAAATGTACGTAATTATTTTTTATATAAAACTATATTTTCTGTTTTTTGCGTATTATTTTGATTGTTGGTTCTCGACGTTTCGAATCCTTTAAAATCTAATACAAATTGAATGCAAGCATGCGCGTCTCAAAGGTTATTATATATGTAGGTGCTTATAATAATAGCAACAGTAAATAATGTTATTCATTCATAATAATCCGAAAAGATAGTTTTATTTATGTCAAATATTCGCGTAAATCAAAGAAATTATGAATTTCTCCCACATTTAAAGTCTTACAATGTTGTTCCTTGCACACGTCGATATTTGAGCTTTATGCAAAGGAACATGAGTTATTGCCAAGTACAAGTTGGAGTAAGAAAATCACACAATTAAAACGTAAACATTATTATATTCTATATGTAAGAACGTCTTGTAACTTCAATTGTAGTACTTTAGCTTGAAAATTTTTTGCTGGTTGGAGCTGTAAAGAAATTTATAAAATTAAATATAGTGTACTAATCATACAAACTTAGTATATATAACAATAATAGCAGTCTGTACTGTACTACATATAAAAGTTTGTATGTTTGTTACTCCTCTACGCTAAAACGACTGGACCGATTTTAAATACATACATATTATAAATATAAACACCCATGACTGGAGTACAAACATTCGTGCTCATCACACAAATGAATGCCCCAGCGGGACTAGAACCCGCGACCGCGGCCCAGCAAGTAGGATCACTACAAACTGAACCATACGTGTCGTCAAAACTAGTTAATAATATAAAAAATATATCTGATTAAGTGATATCCCATGGAATTCATTTGCTCACAAAAAGAGCATAACAAAATGTCAAATAATATACACTTAATACAAAATTTATATAATATCGAACAAAGGTGGCAGATACATGTAATAGTTATGAAAAAAGTGATTTATTTACCGTTTCGACATCCGATTTAAATTTGCTTTTATTAAATAAAACAGTGTCAGTTGCCGTCAACCCATAATAAGCACACACTGAGCGCAACTCATCCTCACTGTTAAATGCCAGCCATTTTTGTACCACTTTCACTGGAACAGCCCACTGCTTGCTGTTGTAGGCGTGACTCAATACTTGGATAGCTCTTCTGAAATTGTGGAATGATATCTACACATAAAAAAATTCTGAGTCGATTCTGTACATCAAATATTTTTTCGAAAGTCTTATTAAAATAGTCATTATTATTGATACAAAGGAATCTAGTTTTTAGAATTTTTGTCTGTTTGTCTTACCCACAATAATGTAAAAGCACAAATTTTTCTAATCAGACACAGGTCAGGCTGCCACACAGTTTGACAGAAGTAGGTCTGTCGGGTCAGCTAGTGTTAAATATTAATAATATCCACATGACCGGTATGTGCAAGCGCATGACATCCACACTTTCTAGTTTCCCCCACATATTGTATCGGACGACAATTTGATACTCCCAAAGAGAGACCAAATTCAAGAACCACACGAACACAGGCTCTTCAAGGAACAAGTTCGTGTCAGAACACCGTGGCAGGTATTTTTACAAAAATGGATGGAAATATGCTCTATTTGTTGCCATTTATGATTACTGCTCCACTCCCTTTTGGTAGTAGTAAGATGATAATATATAAGCCAATAGCTTTTTCTAATAAGCATGCTATATAATGCAAAAAAAATTTTTCAAATCGGATTAGTAGTTCCTGAGGTTAGCGCGTTCAAACAAACAAACTGGTTCTTTATAATATTAGTATAGATTTTCACTCACCTTTGAATCAAAGGTAGGTACAAACAGAAAGCAGAAAATGTTAGTGGACAAAGCCGTTTTGATAACTTCCACATTCTTATATAATTACCATTGAGATTTGCAACAGCTATATTATAAGCTACCGCTAATGAATAATTTCTGTAAAAGTAAAACATTTGTCATAATACACAGTATGCTGCATTATCTCAAATGAGTATTGTACTGTTTCAACATTTTTTGTGTTCTTGTATTAAAAATGTTGCACTATGCATTTTAGAAATTTTTAATTTTTTATTATCTAATATATTTAAACGAGCAATTCTTGTATACGAGTATATAAATATATAATCTGAATCTCGGAAACGGCTCCGACGATTTTCATGAAATTTAGTATACAGGGGGTTTCAGGGGAGATAAATCGATCTAGATTAGTTTTATGTCTGGAAAACGCGTGTTTTCGAGTTTTCATACGGTTTTGTTTCGCATTATTCCACGCAAATTATGGTCGCTAATTCGCACGTTAGGATATAAGCATCATGGTCAAACGGCTAAGGCGCAAGTATGACTACCACAGGTGTCTAGGTCCGTATCCCGACATACAAAGTTTTTACTTTTTTTTTTGTATTGATTCAAATTTTTAGTTGGTTTTTTTTAAATGTTTTTTTTTTTGGCCAAAAACTCGGAGCGAAGCTCGGTCGCCCAGGTACTAATTAATTAAACAAGTATGGCTTTAAAGGCTATATATAGAGTTATATAAAGTAAATTTTCCAAAGCAAAACATTGTATTCAAAATCACTAGGTATTGTAGCAAATTCAATTTTGACACATAAAATATAATTATTGTTTTTTTAAGTTATTTTAATGAGGTGATTTATACTGGGTTTGGGTTAACAAATACAGCCTTCATACTTAATGACAGTATATATCTATAACTTGTTCCTATATGCTCCAACACATTTGGCTCATGTTGTAGTGACCCTACTTGTAGTGCCAGCAGTAGCGGGTTCGAGTTCCGCTAGGTGCATACATTTGTGTGATGAGCACGAATGTTTGTCTCGAGTCATAGAAGTTTATATTAATAATATGTATTTAAACTTTGAAGTTATGAGTATATAGTGTAGTATATCAACTATCTGGTATCCATAACATAAGCCTTGTAGCTTACCATGAGATTAGATGGTGCTGTGTGTTAATGTCCCAACATATTTGTTACTGTGATATATTCATCAATATTTTATTTATACTTTAATAACATTATTATTTACTATAAGTACTTATAAAAACTTATAGCCATATCTATAAAAAAAATAGTTGTTTATTCACTAACCTCTTTATATTTTTTGGTAAACTCAAATATCTATACAGTGGGTGAACATCGTCCAGATTACATATAATGTATAGACTTTCTATCAATATTCTATCACATAACAGCTTCTCTGTATTGCTTATGTTTAAACTTATAAAGTCATCGGCAATTGCATCAACATCTACCTTTCTGTCCAAAGTATCAGAACAACTAAGAAACCATTTCAAGCATTCTAATAAATATTTTTTATTAAGAACTGGGTCATATTGATTTAATGGATGATCACATAATCTAAAATAAAAAAATATTATATTTTAACCGGCAGTTACAACATATATTATAATACACAATAATTCATGCCAAATTACTTAGAACCTTTGAACTTATTTTTTGTAATGTAATATTATAAGCATTACGAAACCCTAAATTTATTTGGACTAAAAAATATATTAGCATGACAAATCATGCATCATGCACAATAAGTAATGTTAGTAAAACATGCCATATACCTCTAATATAATCATATTCATAGTTTCTTAAACTGCCTCGGTGGTGTAGTCGCTAGCATGTACGGCTGCACACCCGAAGGTCCTGGGTTCGAGTCTCGGGTCGGGCCAAGTTTAATTATTGAGTCTTTCTGTATATAGTAAGCCTCAGTAACAACCCGGAGTTGGGAAGTTGGCGGAGTTTCACCGCCGTGCCTCGGACAGCACGCAAAGCCGACGGTCCTGCGCCTTAACTCTCACTGGTCGTGTCGAGTGGTCGTCCCACCAAAGTATGAGAGTGACAGGAATAGAGAGTGCAATTGTGTCTGTGCTGTACATAGACTTGTGCACTATATCTCCTGCGCAGTTGGCTAGTATCAATGAGATTGGCCGACGTGGACGGAATCGGTCAGGAGAACATCATTAGTTTCTTAAAGAATAATTCAGCTTATATTCATTAGGGAGTTAGCAACATGCTGCAAATAATAATAATTATTATTATTTAGATAGGTGTATAAAAATCATATTATGTAACATACCGGTAACCATAATAGACATAGAATCTTATCATGGGTTCTAATAAAACAGTGCATTCTTCCGGTGGTAGACTTTGGATAGTCATATCTTGTCTTACAGCCCTCAATCTGTCATTTAGAAAGTCATACATTACAGACATCTTAACATCTTCTCTCCTTGATACCCTAAAATTAAATAGAAAAAATTAAATATATAATCTGTATAAATATTATAAATGTGAAAGTTTGAGAGTATGTATGGATGTTTGTTACTCTTTCACACCAGAACGGCTGAACGGATCTGGATGAAACTTGGCACAGATGTAGTTTATAGTCTGAATAACACATAACTACTTTTTATACTGGAAAAATATATGGTTCCCGAGGGATAGATTTGTTTTTCTAGAGGCGAACCCAACCAAAGCGAGGGTCAGCCGCTAGTAATAATAGATCTTTAAATTATACTATGTTTGTAACCGTATACATTTTTTAATGATTTATAAGAGATAAAAAAGAAAATTACAAATATACTTAATTATATATACAAAACATATATAAGAGATAATAGATATTGATTTAGATTTTTCTTAAATTGAGATTGATTGAATCGAATTTTTAATAACACTTCAACTTACTCTAACAATAAATAGTTAACTGTATTCATGAGTATGGAATAAGGTCTCAACAGTTGAGGCACTGACATGTTCGCACTCGCGGCTGAACGGCTATAACTTTTCACCATTTTATATCCAGAGTCTGTCAGCTCTAGAACATGCACTAATTTTTCTCTTTTCCTCCTTAGAAATAGAAATAAAGTTGAATATATTATTATTATATAAATTCATAGTAAGTATATAAACTAAGGAGCTTTAAGTATATGTATTTATTATTTCGATTTGTAATGAATATTTACAAATTAACTTCTTGTAATGGACACATATTCTGGCATGTTCCCATAATATTTATTCCTTCCTTATGGTAATCATTTTCAATCCATTCAATACGTGAACCTTTTAAAGACATTTTTATAGTATTATTATTTATTAAAAGTGTTAGACTAATTTTCATATATAGTTTGAATAATAAAATAAATTGAAAACTAATAAATATATGTCAAAACTTCATAATATACCAATGTACTCTGTGCCATGCTCTGTGCATATGTAAATTTTAATGTCACTTTGACAATGAAAAATTCGTTTATAAACATTCAGGTCTTGGACTGTAGTAATAAAATGATGTGATGTTTATGTTTTGTATAGCGGTAGTTTATTGGGCTAGAATTCAATATTAAAAGGAATAATTAAATAAAAATCATGATTTTTCTTTATTTTTAACATAATTAGTTACTTTTTTTTATATCAAAATCACGTGACTACAAACGCCAGTTAAGGTGCGCGACGCAAAGACCTTACACCTCGGACCAATAAAAAAGTACTAAAAAAGTAAAGTACTAAAAAAGTACTTTTTTATTGGTCTGAGCCATAAACTTACAATTATCCACTAATTTCTCCGAAGTACTAGTAATCGGATCGTGGTGATCATTCTTTTTTTTATATAGTTTTTTATCTACATCTATTGTATTTCAACTTACGGAATAGTAAAGATTTCATATTTAGCTATTGGTATTTTTATGAATTATATAATAATAATTAAGTTTTTTGTGATTGATCTGAACATTTCTGAAATGTTAATTTATAAAAATACCAATAACTATATCCACATAGAACTTAATTTTTATTACATTAGAGTAGTTAAAATATTCTACAGCGTCCAAGCGCGTATTTTACCACACATTTATTTGTCTACGAGCGATTTTTCTATGCACGCAACAAACAAAAATACTTGTGTACATAAACAATACGTGCGAAAATACAACGTAAAATAAGTAATCGATTGCTAGTGCGGATAGAGAAAAAAGTGACACAACCTTCCCGTCTGAGCGCTAGCCATGGAGTATATTGCTACATATGCGCTAGCGCGTGACTGCCGCAAGCCGCCCGCGCAAAGCACCTATATAGTCTATAGCTTCGAGGTTCGTAAATAGCATTTTCGATTTTAATAAAAATTAAAATCGAAAATGGAGGAAAATAGTAATTGATTTACAAAATGATTGTCGGGCATAAATTAAAACAGATATTATTTTTAGTTATGTTGCCAAAATTCTTAGCCGTTTAGAAACAAAAGGAAAGGCAAGTCAAAAAAAGACCATTTCTTTGAAAAAAAGTAGTAGATATTTTAGTCCCACGAAAAATACTTTTTGATGAAAATATTGTTTAAGAGTTGATGATATACATATATTTTTTTCAAGCATTTCGGTCAAGCCATAAACAAGAAGTACGCGTTAGAAAGTACCTCTTCGAAGGTACTAATCGCCTTAAGGTGTGTGTGTGTATATATACACCGTCTAATACCGTAATGGGCTTGTCAAATCAAACAAAATAAGACTAAACTCAAAGAATCTACTATTAGCCGTTGAGGAGTTCCACCTATCCACCTTCTGGCCCTACCATCAGATCAGGTGACCGAATCACTACAGTATCAAAGAAGATAGAAACACTTGCAAAGTTTCAAAGCAATATGACAATAATTAGAAGTAGATAAAATCTTTATTAGCTATTTCTCCTCCTTTACGGGTGTGGTATTTATTTTTTAAATTTAAATGGAACCAAATGGGAAGTAACATTTTCCAACAAAATAAAAATTGTCCAAATCAATTAATAAATGACGAAGTTTTGAGATAACAAACTAAAAAAAATACATCTGAATTGAGAACCTCCTCCTTTTTGAAGAAATCGGTTAAAAAAAATACAGCTGAATTGAGAACTTCCTTCTTTTTGAAGAAGTTGGTTGAAAAGGACTGAATACATAAATATTAAATACTTCGTATATAATTATAAATAGCTTAGGTTGTGATGTTATAATTGACATGTGCTAGTTGTAAGATTTCAAAATTCTCATTAATAATATTAACATACAATTTTCGTTTGAAACATTTCATCCTCACCATAGACTCTATCCTTAATTTGATAAAATAGTGACATTGTACCTATTTGCATTTTCAGTTGTTTCGATTACCGGTTAAGGTCATCTTTATATCTAAAGCAACCTTTTTTTTATTTTTAAAAATAAAGAAATGTTTCTTTTGAGTAAATCTTGATAACTTCAATATTTAAGGTACTTTTCTTCCATGTCCCATCGTCATCGATTTGTTCCACCATGTATGAATATGGATATACATAATTCATTCATCACAGGCTATTGTGTGGCATTTTTCCATAACTTACAGGTCTGACATTGGACTGTGATTTAATGATTGATCATAATAATTTAAATCGCCTGAATTTTGCTATTTATTCGTACTCATTCCATTCTGCTATTATTCTATTCATTAAAAAAGCATTAAACTTTTTAAATTACTTTTAATAATAGGAATTATTTAGGCAAATGTGGTTGGTAATAAAGTTATTAAATATACATAGCGAATCGTATATTTTACGAAGTCAGTAGGTACTGTATTTGGCTAAAAAATATATAAAAATAAATTTAAGTAATGACCCTTTTGCAATATTCTACATTATATACAATTATATTAACTGCAGTGGTTATAATTATTTCAGTTCTATGCGTAAGTATAACTATGTATATAAGATAGCCAAAGACCAAACACATAATATAAAATATTTAATTATTGAAAATGCATAAACTAAGAAATACTTAAACGATGTCCTAGAGTTATCATAGTCACAGGAGAGTTTGTCCCGTGAACATGATTGTTGATTGTAAAGCATTGGAAAATGAAAACGTCGGGAAACAAAAATCTAAATAAATCCACGAAAAAGTCCGAACAGATACTTAGTATTATTTAAAACTAGTGACTTTCCGTCGCTTCACTCGGGTGCGTCCCTGCGTACGTTTTAAATAGATATTATTGGTTACTTACTGCGAGTGTACCTAAGGCAACGACTATTGGGCTGAGTAGTTGTTGACCTAAGGATAAATACTTATATGCAGATTTTTCTTAATAAGCTCTAAATCTTGCAGAGGTCTTAATACTACTAGGCCTTTGCGTCTATTCCAGACGATTTATGGTGCAATGTTGGAGATACATCTCTTTTGGTGGCTATATAGACCGATGCGAGAGCTACATGTCCTACCGCAGACCTGACAGGAGAAGTTTGCGACGGATGGTACTGAGTCGCCTTGACGTCGTCTTTGTCTCTTGTCAGCAAGTGTCGCGAACCCGGTCTCATCGCAGAACTTGCGACCCTCCATAATACTTTTGCGCCACTCCGTTCGATTTTCTGCAAGTCTTTCCCAGTTTCGGTGGTCAATTTTAAAAGTAACCATGTCTCTCTTGGCGCATTCTTTAAAGCGAAGCAGTGGCCTCCCTACGTTTCTTTTTGCGTTCGCAATCGCACCAAGAAGTACACGTCGTGGTAATCGAGACTGTTCCATTCTGTGCACATGCCCGAGCCAGCGCAAACGTCTCTGTTTTAGAAGCGCGGTCAAACTCGGTAGTTGTGCAATTTCTAGAACTCTCTCGTTTGTCACCCTGTCTTGCCATGAGATGTCCAAGATTTTACGAAGGCAACGCATGTAAAAAGAGTTTATTCGACGTTCGACCTTTGCATACGTTGTCCAGGTTTCAGCTCCGTACAAGAGTATGCTTATAATGGAGGCTTGAAAGACTAACACTTTGGTCTTGGTGGTTAGATATTTGTTTTGCCATACTCGAGTACTAAGCTTCCCGAACATGGTCGCTGCTTTACCGATGCGAATGTCAACCTCTGCATCCAGCGACAGATTGTTCGTTACGGTTGACCCTAGGTAACAAAATCTGTCAACTACCTCTAGCAGCGTACCATTGAGCGAAATTGCTGGGGCCTTAGAAGTGCCTTGTGCTAACACAACTGTCTTCTTTGCGTTTATGGACATGGCGAACAGGGAACAAGCCCGTGAGAATTGGTTCACCATATACTGGAGCTCACGTTCGGAATTAGCAACGAAAGCCGCGTCATCGGCATAAAGAAGGCTATCGATGTAAAGATCCTCGCGGCTTCTTTTGGATTTGAGTAGTGAGATGTTAAGCATCCTTCCATCGGTTCTTGTATGTAGATGTATACCCTGTTGATTTTCGTCAAAAGCGGTGCGCAATATGAGCGAAAAATATATACCAAACAGGGTAGGAGCCAAGACGCAGCCCTGTCGAACACCTCTGGAAACATCAAACGGCTTAGATGTTTTACCGCTTAAAACTACTGTGCCCTTCATGTCTTCATGAAAAGATGCAACCAGTCTCAGGAGTTTAGGCGGGCACCCAATACTCTCAAGCGCCGTGTACAAGCCCTTTCTGCTGACCTTAATAAGGTCTACAATTTTCTAGGAGATTGTTTTGATGAATCTCTTTAAGGTTTAGCCAGCGTTAGACAAGTAAATTTATAAAAACGACTCGATTGAAGCAGTTGTTGTGTTTTCCCGTGGGAATGAAAGATTTTCCTGTAGTAAAAGATATCCTAAATGTTGACATGAATAAATCACTATACAAAAGTTAGTTAAAATTGATTCAGTACATTTTGCGTAAAACGCGCACATTGATTTCGCTAAGTTACTATTTTAGTATAGGTATGTACCTATAGATGTCAAATATTCGCGTAAATCTAAGAATATACGATGTTCTAGGATATCCAAGTGATTCCGGAACGCGTGAAAGTTATGTATATGAATGAAAAGTACTTGTACAACTATTCCTACTTCATCAAGCGCTACAGTCGCAGGAGCCCGCACTACATCATTATGGAGACTGCACTTAAACACGAGTGGAACAACAACGTTACGGTGGGTTTTGGGAAATTAGTTGGCACATATTGCCTACTAGGACCATCTGACATTATAGAATATAGTGGCATTAAGAAATAAGAATTCATTCTCTCTTAAGTCTTATCCAAAAATTCAATTCGAGTTGTCCTTTCACTGAATCTAAATGGCGGCGCTAGAGACCTGTACCTACATGAATGCACCGG